TGTTCCAAGGAACGGGAGCTGAAGATTGCGATCCATTTCAGCGACATCTTGTGCCTCCACCATCTTTGTTCAACATTATCTTACAAAAACAGCTTGAAAAGTCGCGGAGAAAAGGCGCGGCGGGATACTTATTTGCTGAAGGTTCTCAAGGCTGAGTAACTACCGGCATTTACACTTTCCTCTCTTCAAGTCCGACGGGACATTCGTCTTGTGGCCAGCTTGCAAGAAACGGGGACGCTTGGCTGGATGGGGCAAAGACGGCGAAACGAGAAAGGAGGACAGCGACCGTCAATGTACACAACCCGTCTGCGTAGCCGCACCCCCCCCCCCCCCCACACGTTGCACCACATTTAACATGGGTGAGGTACTCAGTAAAGGTCTTGGTCAAGTACAAGTGACTTGCGGCATCCCGTAGGGCTGGACCTTTGGCTGTCGCTCCGTCCCCACAGCACCAAGCTACCGGCGGCGATGCGATATTACCTAACGCTTCCCTGTTCCCCATGACGCCAGGAAAGAATTCAGGAAGGCACCATTGGAAGCAGCATCTCCAGATCGGCCCTGGGCCGGAGTGTCTATCACTTTGGCGAAACAACTTTGGCGAAACAGGTAGGGCACAGCGTTTGGGGATCCAGGACGGGAGGAGATTTGGTTCGGAAACAGAGGCGGACCATTCGTCATGCTCCGCCGTCAATGGTCTCCGCAAGACACCGCCTTGGAACTCATTGAGGCGTCCCTGTAACGTGAAAGTTTACCATCGATATAGCGGTGTAGAGACTGCTGAAGAAGCGAGAGCGCTGGTTGCTCGACATGAAGAACCTTGCATGGCATACAGAGTACATTGGAACATGCTCAATCGCACCGTAACGCCCGGCTGGTGTGAGCGGCCCGGTCGGTAACAGATGCATGTTTTGAGGCCACATGCCGGTCTGCATGTCGGCATCTTTAGGGCTGAAATCATGAAATAACGTGTCCGCTGGATATCGCCTTTGCTGGAGGCACCAGGGCGCTCTTCCTGTGCGGTGTTGAAAGGAATGAGAGTAGCTATCGTCGAGGCTCGTGAAAACATATGATGTCTGTCAGCCGCCCGCTTTCATCTTGTACATGCCTGCAAAGCATGAATGTTAGCATTCAATTCTGCCGGTCGTCCGGGAGGACCTGTGGAAGTGAACCAAGCTCATGCTACCGACCGGGCGTCGATTGTAGCTGCAAATTTTCTCATGACTACCTAGCAATCAGCTCTCAAGGCGGTCGGGTTAACCCCAACATCTCCTGGTGTGCTGGACACGACCATTGCTCGGATGAGGATGGTTGCGAGATTGCGGATCATATTGGCTCCCTCAGTGCGGCCCCGTTGAGGATGACAGGTATTCACGGCGCTTAAGCAGCCAAGAGGGTGTAACCTATCAAGCACAGACTCAGTACTGCATCGACCGGTTTCTGCCGCCTTGGGGTGCCCTGGCCTCCGCATCCGAGGTCCCCGAGGTTTGGAGGAGAGTGAGGGGAAACAAGCTCCATCCTAATCTGGACGTGGATGAGGGAGATATTGGTAATCCGGAGGGCTGCAAGGATGCCGCGAAGTTGAGTATCTGTTGCTGGGAAAATTCATGAGATTGGCTGGAAAGGGGGTTTCCTGGCGCAGCGCGTTTATCCAGGTAACGCAGGGCAGGAGGGGAACCGCGCTTGGAAGGATTCGGTGTGACCTGAGCTTGGAGAGTTGGTCGGCAATTTAAACTCTCAATAGAAAATCGCCAGGATATTGCCGCGGGGGCAAGAATATTTTGCTCACTCCTTAGCTGGGTGTAACCATCCAAGGAACATCTAGGCCCTGTGCAGTGAAGCAGAAGAGAGCGGGGTATATGCCGCTCAAAGTGTCAAACGTCGGTCGACAGACTGCGTTGCGGATGGCCGTATCTCAACGAGTCGTAGGGCTCCGATTAATGGATCCGCTTTGGGTAATTGGTTGTATCTTGGTCAACTCGTCTATGCGGACGCGCATTGTTGACAAGGTCGGCGAGGGCAAACTCATCAAGGAACCTTGCCATGTTGAACGGCAAAGAACAGTTACGCAAGCGCGGCTGCCAAGCGAGCCTCACTGGGCGAGACGTGGGGCTGGGGCTGTACAGAAGGTGCAGGAGGATGAAGGAGGCAAATGGAAGCAGCATCTTGGGGGTTGCAGTGCAGCGTATGGTGCAGGAGGTTTGGTGGGCGCAGCAGCAAGAGCAATTCCCGCCTTTCCCAGGTGTGTCCAGGAGGATTTGCTGCGAAAAGGAGCGGGGCGGGGCGCTGCAGGGGGTGGAGAAGCCAAAGTGCCAAGCTTCCACTTCCTTCACTTCCGACGGGAGTTTGACGGCACCCAAACGTCTCTTCAACCTTGGAAGGCCCTCGCTTCGATCATCAACTTGAACCTGCCCAAAACACAACGCTGCATTCGAATCGCTTGATGAGCCAGGTACACCACAACGCTCTGTTCTCTGGGACATCATAAGGTAACCACGGATACTTTTCCCGTCCTGCAAATCCAAGACAAATACCAGGTCTTCTATTCTGGGACGAATAGTGTCCCGGTGAGCGAACCTGGAAATCGGGATGAAAGACCGACCCGATATGCTTTCTTGGGTTTCAGCAACAGCTCGAGTGTAGGGTAAAGGAAAGGTACTGGTCCGCTGGCTGGTCAAGTGTGACTGGGCAGCTTCCCGCCGGCCTCCGTGTCGAGGAATCCGTGCCCTCAGACCGTCCACTCATCGTCGCCTCGCACTCTATCCATGCCCATGTCGTTCCAGTAAACAAGGCCAGATCCAAACGCCTGATCTTGCACTCAATGAAACATCTGTGCCAGCACGGAATTCACGTGTGAGTGTTACTTGGGCGAATCGGGTTTGGAAAGTCCAGGCAACAGCATGCTCGGTGCTCCTACCTCTGTACTCGCACCTCGCTCTGTTGAAAGGGTAAGTCGAATGGATGAATTCTTACATACATTATTTTGGGCCGCCCTAATAGTTTGCATGGAGCGGTACCTGCGAGCCTTTGAAGGGATCCTTCCCAAACTTGAACTTCGCATGCAACTCAGGCTGCATCGCTGCAGTTTCTCCGAATTACTTGCTGAACCATACCTGGTTAAACGCACCCTAACATCCGCATCACGTCGGCTTTGTCGACGGCGGTGCTATAGGTTCCCATGTTAAGTTCTACGGAGCACTCTGGTCTCGCACGGGCACGCATTATACAAAACAAGGCTCCGCCAATCACGCAAGCATTACCAGCAACTCCCTCAGCGACACTAATGGGGCACGCCACATGACTCGCTCTCCCAAGATGGCCTCCTCCCGGCAACGTCGGCCCCTTCATTCGCAGCTACAACGGCCTGCCGAATTTGATGTCTAAACGCCAATGGCCGTCGCGTTTGTACCCACAGCTCCGACTTGCACATCATCCTATAAAAAAGCCCCCCCAAACCATGTCACGCAGGGGAGGAAGAGGGTGGGGATGGACGACCCAGGAGGGTGGAAATGGCGTTTTGCAGTCAGCACCCTAACGGCGGTTGTTGGTAGATAACCCAGGTATCCGGATGAGCGCGCGCCCTTTTGCCTACTGGGGCTGAACGTCTTCTAATCCCGACAGGTCGCAGGAGTGAGAGCTCCATCTTCCTTTCAAGTCTGGTCTTTTGCCCATAGGGACGCAAACCCAAGAGAACCAACCACGTGTGCGAGTTTCGCAGTTGATGCCTTGAATCCGAGAAGATGTGGGGAGGCGAGGCTGAGGGACTCGGTAACATGCTTCCTGATCTCGCAAGTCGCCGAAACCATAGGGCTACTTCTGGCCTCGCGGGTCTGTTGTACGACCACATTAATAGAGCCTCCCCCTAACTGTGACACGATTTGACGCCAATGGCTCTGCTCACGAGTCGTTCCTTGCCGTGGTACAGCGACCAGGCAGTCCGCAAGGCATGTGAAATGGATCCGAGGAGGCTCGGAACTGTGCTTTCGGCCCCGTCGGCTGAATCCTATTCTCCAGGCCCCAATCTCCCTTTCGGGAGGCTTGGCTCGATTATGATCAACTTTGGCACCCTGAGCCAGTTGTGAGTGAGTATCGTGTACTCAAGCACACAGAGTCAGTTTCTTGGGGGAGCCAATGCGAGAGTTAACGTTAGCTCCTGCCGTTTCTGTGACGAAGGCGGATGGGCTGTTCACGCGTACAAAAGTTCTCTGGGCTTGAGCAAAATTGCTGGTTGCAAGGGACCACGACGAGTCGTCGTGGCTGTGTCTTCACTTTGCAATGGGATACAGGCAAACCTGGCATATCGTCTCCAACGCACATTACCTTGATAATCAGTAGATTTTGTGAAGATGTTGAACGTATGGACGATAGAGGGTATGAAACGGAATGGATAGCCATTCCTTAGACTGGAGATACGCCAATGCAAAAGAGCTGAGTCCCCATGGGCTTGACTTCAGCGGAACCCAAACTAGAGGGGAACACATCGTTTTCCATGCCAATAACGTTATGTCGTCTTGTTCAGGAGGTGTGCTTGCAAGAAAGGCCACATTCAAGGCCCTAAAAAGAACCATGAAGCTAGCTACCCCGTCATGGGGAACGTTTTACTCCTGCTGAAGATGACAATGCTCGAGGAGAACAGAATAACCAGACGAGAGTGGAAAGAGGTGGCGGTTTGCTGGCGCAAACCATTGGACCTATGCTACCAAAGAAGGCAAACCAGCAAGCAGCTTGATTCGATCGTAATACCAAGTCTGCAGAACACTCGAAGAGCTAAAAGAAACATTAAAGCAGCACAAAATCAGATATCGTCCGAAACCGACTCCCAATTCATAGTCCCTGAGCCCATATTCTTGAGAAGGCACCAGCGCAGAAGCACGACTTCAGGGCGATCAAACCAATTCCTTCACATATACCATACACAATGTCCATTCGCGGAACCACTCTCCTCGCAGCTAATGTAGGGATGGCCATCAATCCTGTCATTCAGGCAGCAGGCTAGCACTTGAGGACCTTCAACGTCCCCATACTAAGGGATATACGATACAACTCATCTATCTCAAGTAGTGAATGACAAGATGCCCACAATTTAAGACACGTCCCATGCATGGAACTGAGGCTTGACATGCTACCTGAGCGTTATCATATAACAGTTTGCCATGCTCAGTGTAAGAGTCCGCCGGATTGGGATAACCAGTCAGTCCGAGAACTCCTGAAATCCCTCCGTACAATACAGGTTGCTCATGATGGCATTTTTGTGCCATATGCGTACGACGGAACAAGGCACTATCTCGCACCGACTGCCAAAGAGATACTCTCCCGCATACCGCTTTCTGTATAGCAAACCCTAGCAACAGATATCCTTTCACCACAGCGATACAGCCAGCCATCTTGAACACTCCTTCGGTTGCTTGCCTGTTCTACAACTATCACGATCCATTTGATCGACAAACTCTAGATCAGCAAAGTGAATCAACCAACCAACCAACCAACCGCCCCAATGCCAGATCCATCTCCCCACCTCACTCCTTAGCAAACAAATGACTCGTGCCATGCCCCTGCGAAGAAAGAAGGTAAATAATACAGAGCGCGAGAGAGAAAACAGTGGCCATGCACCTGTAACGTGTAAAAGTCTTCTTTCTTTTGTTCCCCGGTCAACCACCTCCCAATTTCCCAGATTCGCATGCCATGGTACAGTCAACCCCCTTGGTAGCTCCCCTGTCCAAGCCAAGAAACAAACAGGGGCCCCTCCTGCCGGAAAACCCTTCACTCTCTCATCAGGCAAGGATATCATCCCACGTCACTCCCGAATGAGTATGGCCCCTCAGAAGGATCTCCCTTCAAAACACCTAAACCCTCACGACCCATCAACCTCAACATGTCAACACGCGCACACAGCTCATTGCGCACCAACCCCAACCCCACCACCACCTCTCGCTCTCTTCCCTCCTCTCCCGCCCTCACCCTGCCCGTCCGGCCCATCCCTTGGCCTCTTATTCCCAGCAGCAGCAGCAGCAGCACCACCACCACCACCAGGGTTAAATTCCCCAGCATTGGGATTCAGCCCGCCAGCAGCGCCGCCTCCGCGCCCACCAAAGCCGCCACGGCCGCGCGCTCCCTGACCGCCGCGGCCCGGCCCGGCCTGGTACACGCCCCGTCCGCCGCGCCCCGCACCACCGCCTCGGGGCACAGGGATGCTGGGTCTCGGCTGCTGCTGAGGTTGCAGTTGCTGTGGCTGTTGCCCGGCTGCCACCGGTTGCGGGAGATTGCTGGCTGCAGGAGCCGGGGCACCGAAGGGGTTGCTGGTGGCTGTTGCTGCGCTAGCCGGCGTCGGGATCCCCATGCCCGGCTTCGTAGGCTGCGGCAACGCGCTCTGCGGAGCGGGCGCCGCGGCTTTGGATTCCTCTTTGACGGCGGGTGCAGCTGAAGCTGGTGGGTTGTAAGCATGAACGTGTAACGTCATTCTAAGCGGGGCGTTTGAGAACCTACCTGAAGGGGCCTGGCCTGCAGGCGCCGCCGGCGAAGTCGCTGCAGCGGGAGAACCGGCGGTCGCAGGTTGGACAGCAGCGGCCGGAGCAGTTGGCTGCGCGGGAGGCGCTGGAGGCTTCGCGTCCTTAGCAATGTTCCAAACCTCGATCACCGGCCTCTGCGGTGTGTCCCTAGCCGCCGTCTCGACCACCGCGATCTTGGCCAGGGCTGTCTTGTGCTGCCGATCGAGCATGTTGAGACGAAGCGCCGATTTCTTTTCGGCCAATGATGCCGCTTGTTCTCTTGCAACAGTTACCTTCTGTTCGCACTCGGCCTTCATTGCGGCTTCAGTCTCCTCCTTCACCTTTTTCGTCTCATTGGCAAGCATCCTCTTAACGTTAGACTTGACAATGCTCGAAACCGTGGGGTTTGTGGCGACGAAGTCCCGAATCTGCGCATCGTTCATGGTGTTGAGCTCTGTCGCCGGAGTCTGTGGAGGCTGCGTCTCGGACGCCTTCACAGGTGTCGAAGGCACTCCGTTCTTGGCAGCCGCCGTCTGCTGTTCGGCCTTGATGATGGCCAGCTCTTGTTGAAGCCTGAGTTCGAACTCGGCTTGCATTTTTTCGCGTTCCTCTTGAGCTTCCTTCTGGATCGCCTCCTTCGATTCCGAGAGCTTCTTGTTCAGAGCTGCTTTCATTTTGTCGGACCGCTGCTTGATGATGCTGTCAGCCTGATCCTCGAGCTCCTTGGCCTTCTGCTCGAATTCAACAGCCCTGGCTTCGGCGGCCGCGAGCTTCTCCTCCAAGGCCTTGCGCTCGTCATCCGCGAGACCAGGGGCTGTCTGAGCGGGTGCGACGGTAGAATCTGTCATTACAACCTCACCGGCGTTTGCCGGTGCCGCTTCCGCAGCTTGCGCTTGCGCCTGGTCACGCTCCGCGATGGCAGTCGCAAGCTCAGCCTTGAGCTGCTCAACCTGGGCTTCCGTCGCAGCCTTCTGGGACGAGACTGTCTCCAGTTCCTGTCTCAAGTTCTCGAGCTGCTGGTTGAGCTCAGCAACCTGGGCGAAATCAGAAGGAGCTGCAGATGGTTGCTCAACAGCCGGGGTGGCTGCCGCTGCCTGATGCTCCAGCGCCTTGTTCTTCTCTGTGGCATCCGCCAGCTGTTGCTTCGCTGTCTCCAGCTCCTTCTCCAGGCCGGCCACCCGCTCATTGACCAGGTCGAGGGTAGTCTGGAGCGTGTTCTTCTCGGCATTCGCCTCGTCGCGCTGGCCCTTCATGTTCTTGAAACGCGTCTTAAAATCATCGGCAAGCCGCGACCTGGTGCTCTGCCACTCGGCCGTCTTGGCCTCCAAGGCTTCCTCCACCTCCTTGACCTTCTGCTGCAGCGCCTGCTCGGACTCCTTGAGAGCATCCCGCTCGGCCTCAAGACTCTCGATAGTCGCCTTGAGCTGCTCCGCTTCCTGAGGGTCAGCCTGACCGTACTTGCTAAGGATCGACTCGATCCTCTTCTGCAAGCCTTCACGAGCCTCCTGGAGCTGTCTGATTTCCTGCTCCCTGAAACCCTTGTCGACCTCGAGCTCCGCGATGCGGGCCTCGAGAGGCTGGACCTTGGCCTCCAGCTCCGTGATCTTCTCAGACTTCTGCTGGAGCTGTGCTTGAGCACGCTGGTTCTCATTGCGGAGAGTGACGTTGCTCTCGCGAATGAGGTTGAGTTCGTTAAGCTTGTCCATAAGCTCCTTGTGGGTGAGGGAGCTGCGCGAGCTGTCGGCGTGCGCCCTGCGCTCCTGCTCAAGTTTGAGACGAGCCTCGTCAAGCTGCGATTGTGAGTACTCGAGTTGCTGCTGGAGCCTCTTCGCCTCTTGGAGCTTGATGTCGTATTGCACTTCGAGGATCTCCTTCTCGCGGCGCAAGTAGTTGTTGAGCTCGCGCAGACCTTCCGTGGCAGCGTCGGCAACCGAAGGCGGTGGTCCCTCGCCATCCAACTGAGTCCGGTTCTGTTGCAAGGAGATGATCTGGGCCGTGACGCTGTCAAGTTGCTGGTGTAGGAGTTTGTTCTGCGCAGCAACATCCTCCCGCCTAGCCTTAATCTCCGACATTTCCTGCTCGAGCTGCCGCCGCCGCTCCTCCCAGGAATGTTCGCTCTGAGCGAGAGAAATTCTGGCAGACTCCGCTTCTGCTCGCCATGCAGCTGCCTGAGTCTTGAGCTCGTTGTGTTCAGCCCGAATCTTCTGCAGGAGTGTGGCAGCTTCCGCATGCTTGACAAGTTCCTGCTCGTAATCCTGCTGAGCCTTGGTGGCGATCTCAGCCTGGGCGCGCAGGTCTTGCTGATGGAAGCGCGCGGTCTCCTTGTATCTTTCTCCCTCCTCCTTTAGACGCTCAATCTCATTGTTGAGCATCCTTTCTTTTTCTTCAAACTTCCTTGCAACGTCGCTTTGCGAATCCCGCAGCATGTTGAGCTCGTTATTCGAGTTCGAGAGCTCGGCCGTGAGTGCTTCGACACGTTGTTGCAGCTCGTTGATGGAGTTGGTCTTTGCCTCAAGCGCCGCATCCATCTCTTCGCGGTACTGGTTGTGAGTCTCGTTCAGGCTGGTCAGCTCCTCTTCCATGTCCTTGCTCAGCTGCTTGAATTGCTCAGCCTGTTGCTTAGCATTGTCGAGCTGAACAGTGAGCAAGTCCAGGTTGTTCTTGAGCTCCTGAACTTCGTTCTCCAACTCCTCGATACGAGCTTGAGACTCATTGTCGGCCGTTGGTGGTTCGTTGACAGTCCCTGGTCTGGGTGTTGGAAGCGGACGGAGGCGCTCGGCGCGCTCCTGCGAGTTCCGCAGCTCGATTTCCAGTTCTCCAATGCGAGCTTGGAGGTGGTCACGGGTCGTCTTGACTTGAACATTCTCCTCCTTGATCTGACCGATCATAGAGGTCAGTTCATCAATCCGCTTCTGGAACTGCTGGGCGTCAAACTCCTTTCGCAGCTGGATCTTCTTGCCCTCTTCCACTTCCTCAGAGAGCCTCCGCTTCATGGTCGTAAGTTCGCTTTCGAGAGAATCAATCTGCGCCTGCAGTCTACGCTTCGTCTCGGATTCGGAAAGCTCACGCTCGTTCAAGAGCGACTGCTGACTGGAAAGCAGCCCGTTAAGCCTCGTCTTCTCCTGCGCAAGGCTCTCGTTGTCCTGACTGAGACGCTCCTGGATAGTCTTCCACAACGTCTTTTCAGCCCTGAGGTTGGCGTTTTCGCTCCGCAGGCTCTCAACCAAGCCGCGAGCTTCGACAAGATCCTCGGCCACTTGCTGGGTCCGCATGTCTTGCTTGGCTGCGGATTCCGACAGTGACTGAGCCCTTTTCTGTAGCTCTTGCTTCTCGGTCTGCAAAGCCTTGAAATTCGACTCGAGGATATTGTACCGCTCGGTCGCAAGGGTGAGTTGGCTGGAAAGCCGGGAGACCTCGCTCTGAAGTGAACCCTTCTCGGTGGACAGCTTCTCGATCTGGTCCTTCATGGCGTTCCTGTCGGTCGCCTGGTCGTTCCGGTAAGAATCGAATTGAGCCTGCAATTCTCTCAGGGCCACAGTGAGGCTAGCTTCGTCGGCTTGAGGTGGTTGCTCGATGCTAGCGAGCACCTCGCGATGCCCGGCTTCCCGAGGAAGGCCGAGGGCTTGTTGGATCTCGGCAGGTGTGGCCTTTTGCTGGAGCATCCGGCGGAACATGTCGCGCTCCGTCATATAGCTCTTCATCCGGACCGTGATCGACTGGACTTCGTCCTGCAACTCCGAGACCGTAGCCCGAAGTTCCTGGGCTTCCTCATGGTCTTGAGCCGCCTGTCGTTTAGCAGCCAGGGCCTCCTCATTCTCCATCTTGGTGGCGAGCTCACGGGTGAGTTTGAGCAGCTCCTCGTTCTTCTGTTGCAACTCGAAAATGTCCTTGAAGGCGGTGAACCTCTCGGTAATGAACCGATGAGTGTCTGACATGTCCTCCAGAGCAGTTGCTGCGACCTCGCCGCGCTGGAGCCTCTCGAAGTGCAAGATCTCCTCCTCACTAAGCTGATCCATACCCTTCTCGCTGGCACTGATGTTGAAGAGGAGGACATGGACTTGTGTGCCAAGGTCGCGCACCTGAGTCTGGAGAATCTTGATCTCGGCCTGGGCGCTGGCAGCAGCGCTCTCAGCTTTACGGGCGGCCTTGGCTGCAGCGTCGCGTTCTTGGTAAGACAGCTCCATCAGTTCTGACATTTGGGCCGACTCCTGCCGGAGACGTTCGTTCTCGTATTGAGCTTCCTCGAACTCGGGAATCTTGGCCTCCAGAAGATTCACGGCGTCGTCGAGATCCTCTTGGAGCTTCTGACTCCGCCGTTGCTCTCCAGTGAGCTGTGCCTTGACCTTGAGGAGCTCCTCAAGGGTATCGGTAGCACGCTGCGACGCCCTGCCGCGCATCGATGCGGGGGTGCCAAAAGGAGAGGCTGCGCGAGCCAGGAACGACCCGTTAGCCCGGGGGGTCTGTGGCGCCGAGCCAGCCACGCCATTCTGGGAATCAACGATAGCTTTGAGGCGATCCACTTCTACCTGGAGCTCCTGTGCTTGTCGGCCCGTCTGGGCGTGGTCCTCCTTCTCTTGCTCCAGCTCTCGCCGGACGCGTCGGATCTCTTCGGCGCTATCGTCCTTCACCTGCTCCAACCGAAGCTCCACCTCCTTGAGGCGGTTGCGGTGTGTTTGAGATTGTTGATCTTTCAGCTCCACCAGGCGCCTCGACGACTCCAACTCTTGTCTGAAGCTCTCCTCGGCACGGGCAGCAGATTCCTGCAGCTGTTGCACCTTGGTCAGAGCCTCTTCTGCCTTTGACTGAGCCTCCTCCAGTCTCTTGCGAAGCTGCTGCTCCGACCGGGTAAGCGATTCGATGGTGGATAGGGCGTCCTCATTCTGGCGTTGTAATTCGGCGATTCGGGCACCCTTTTCTTTACGGATCTTGAGGCTCTCGGCCGTCTTCGTCTTAAGCTCGGCATCGTACCAGTCGTTGTTCTTCTTGGCAAGTTCGAGCTCCTGCCTGAGGGCCTCTTCCCGGTACTTCGCAGAGTTTGCTGCGGTCTGTGCGGTCTGCACAGACTGATTCAGCGTTGTGATTTCCTGGTTGAGCTTCAGAATCTTTTGGTGTTGTTTCTGCAGCTCTTCGGAGAGGCTGGCGTTTGCCGTCGTCTTGGAATCGACGATTGCTAATGTCTCGCGATTGGAGGTCTCGAGCGACGCGATGCGGGCGCGGAGGGTCTCGATTTCGGAAAGTGATGTTGTTCCAGACGACTTGAGGGTCTGGAGTTCGTTCTCAAGAGATCGGCGGGCAGTTTCTGAGTTCGCAACAATTAGCCAAGATCAGCAGGATAGGATAATGGCTAAACGCAGACTTGCCTTCATTTCGCAATTTCTGCCGCAAGTCCTCTACCTCCTTGAGGGCCTTTTCGCTGGTGCTCTTGAACTGTACGCATCGCGACTCTGCGCCGCGGATGGCAGCTTCGAGTTCGACACCGAGCTGGAACTTGTCCTGTTCGATATCTCGGAGCTTGGTCACAATTGCACCAAGTACGATTTTGACCAGATCGACTGTTGGCGCGGTGACGACCGCGTCGAGATCAACCTGTGGCACGCCGGCGTGTGCCGACAGGTAGCTCAGGTCTACCTCGACCGCCGCCATGGTGGTCCCTCGGTGTCAAGCTCTCAATGCATAGACGGGAGATGGATAGCCTGGTCGGCGATGGCGTCCGAGTTGAGTAACGGAACGAGTGAAAAATCGGTGCGATTCTTGACTTAGCAAAATCGCGCGATTGTTGGCACTTTTTCTTTGATGTTTGGAGAGGAATGATCAGAGATTGACTGAAAAGCCTTCTCGCCGGTTGGAGCTGTTTTTGGCAGGAAAACAGCCCAGCCGCGAGCTCTTCCATTGCGCGCGGCTCCAATCAGCCATGGCAAGTTGGGAACGGCTGCTGTGGGGCAGCGAGGCAAGGTTGGCGGCGGGACAGAACCCGGACGTGGCACCTGGTCTGTGCGCAACTGCGACTTCAGCTCAAGCTCCAGTCTCAGGTTTCAGCCTCAAGCCAGTCTCGCCAGTCTCCCCTCTACAGTAGATATCGACTGGTGCTCATTGTTCTTATGGTGTACTTGCCTACAATCATTCAGTTCCACTGCCCAAAGGCATAACTTCGAATTGCATTCCCTCCTATATATAATCATCTTCTTCCTGAATAGTCGCCAATTTACCTTTCTGTTTCTTCTACTCTTTGGTTCGCCAGCCTCTCCCATCCCACAGTCACTGGACAAGCTGAACGCACAAGCTTGTGGTGATACACAGTTCTCGTTCAAGACATCTTCTCTCATTCGGCACATCCGGAAAGGTGACAGCCTCGCTTGCGTGTACCTAAATCTGGTTTCACCGTCCATCCTGATAAGTGACAATGTCTTTTCGGTATCACAGTGGCAAGTCCATCGTCTCAGATCAGTGAGACAGCTTGGGGAACTAGAAGCGGTAAAACGGGAAGACGTCACCGTGGCTGGACGGTCAGATGCATATTTTGCGGCGGGAGTGCAATCTGGCGCCCCATGGCCCTCTTCTGACAATGCACTGCTAAAGTGGCTATTAAGAAAGCTTACAGAAACAGTTGTACAAAAAGCTGCTACTCGACACCGTCCCCGGAGAACAACCCCTTCCCGGTATATGGCCACACATTGCTCGCCCAGTTGCCGCGAAAAAGTCCTGGCAGCACAAAATACGCCTCAACTTTCGTCACCTCTGCGGCACTCCATCTCCACCAGCATCCATTTCATGGAACTCTGGCACCGGTCCCGAGTGCCAGGATGCCTGCGTGTGTTGCTGCTGCTGCCCGTACATGGCGGCGCCACCAGAAGCAGGAGGAGGAGGAGGAGGCGGCGTGCCAGCATGGGACAATTGATACCCCTGCATCTGTTGAGGGTTTGGCGAAGGAGCCGGCGAAGGAAGCTCCGGCCGGTTCGGGGCGGCGTTGTGAAACTGCGTGCCTTGGCCCTGCAGTTCCGACAAGTTGGGAGGTGGGGTCGCGTACACGGCGCTCTGGCCCTGGAGCTCAGGTCTGTCGGGAGCTGGAGCACCTTGACCGTAGAGTTCTGGCGCGTTTGGCGGCGGTGGGGTACCAGATGCCTGGCTGTGCAGCTCCGGGCGGTTCGGCATTGGCGGGTATAGCGAAGATTGCCCGTTCAGCTCGGCTTGGTGGTTCGGAGGCGGGGTGTAGGCGGCCGTGTTGGCAGAGGCGGGTGAGACGGTGTCGGCTCGTGGAGGAACGGCGGCAGCCTGGAGCGTGCTTGGGGCCGGGCTCGAAGGTGGTAGCTCTGAGGCGGCGACGACCGAGTCGCTGGCTAGCTCTGACTTGCCGCCGAAGGGAGTCTGAGGAACGGGCGGGTTCTCAGGCCCAGTCCCTGTCTCGGGGTTTCGCAGCGACTCGGCTTTGTTCTTCCTGATGTGCCTGAAGACAAAGAAGACGATAGCTCCGATCAGAGCCAGACCACCGACAACACCAACCACGGCCCCGACGATCAAACCGGTGCTGGGGCCGCTTGAACCCGTGTTGCTCCCGTCAGTAGAACCAGCTGTCCCGTTTCCGCTGGCACTACCGCTGGCACTTCCGCTGGCGCCCGTCTGCCTTGCAACGCTCGAAGCGGCGGTGGGGAATGTCTGTTCCACAGAGTTCACGACCCCAGTGGCAGTCGCTGACCCGGCAGCAGCGCTGCAATAGAAGTTATAGACCTGGATCGCTTTTAGATACTGGTGCAAAATAATGGGATTGTCAGGGGGGTACTCACGTCCACAGCAGACGAAACATCATCGACGGCGGTTGAAGCGCACTCGTACTTGACAGAGGAAGTGATGCTCTTCAGGATCATGCTGGCCATGCCGTCTTTGAGACACGCGCACGAAGCGAGCGCCTGCGGGCCGCTGGGGCACAAGTATGTTTGCTGTAGGCACCTGTCAGAAACTGTGGGCTAAGAGAAACAGTAGCTCCTATTTCGCAATGGGCTGGGGCTGCTTACCCACTGAACCGCCTCGCTCAAACCCTCCTGGGCACATTTTGCAAGAGAGCTGTACTGGGGCAAATCCGTGATGAAGTACGTCACTGTCTCGATCAGCAGCTGTTCGGGATGGTTCCACGAGCTTCGACTCACTGTCGCCAGGCGGCGGAGAAGGCACTGGGAATGCAGATGTGCCGGCATTTAGACCACAGTACGCGGCGAACATGGCCTGGGCGGACGTGATATCGGCCAAAAGTCCGGAGCACGAAGACTTGACCCTTGAGTTGATCTCTGAGCTGACCATCACCGAATTCTTATTCTTGTTGCAGGCACAGTCGGCCAAGGCAGGAGCGTCCGTCGGACAGAACGTGTTGGTCTGGTGGCCACAGACGTTAGCGGACTGAGTATGAGCCTCACAACTCCAAGATGCCACATACCATTGACCTGTCTGCTGTCAGCAAAGAGCAAAGTGGTGGCCGAAACCACGGGGTAAGGTGTGCGGCCAACTTACGCCACAGCGTATTTGAGGCCGCTTTGCGCGCATTCGGCCATGTAACTGAACTCGGCAATCTCTGTGATCAAAACCTGTACTGCGGTTGGAGTCGCAAGCGTGATTGTCGCGGTCGGATCGCAATACGCGCTTAGAACCTGGCTGAGAGTCAGCGCAACCAGCCTGCCATGGACAACTCCGGACCTATCGTACCGTCTGCACCGAGGACTGATCATGGCTTGCTGCATCCCCGCAAATGTTGCTGACTGAGGCTGCAACCCTGGAGGAGACGGAGGCGAGGTTCTTGTTCTTGGTGCAGATACATGACTGGAGCTCGGGGGCACCTTCGGGGCACACGCTATATGTGTTGGACATGACGGCGTAGCTGATGGCACTCTGTGCGCAGGGCGCCTGGAGAAGCACAATGCGATCAGTGATGGTGCTAAAGCGCGACAGAAGGGTCTCGAGAGATTGTATGTACCAAAGCGCTGTATATAGGCATGTCGGTCACATATTGGAGGATTTCCGCTGCCCTGGCCGAGGCGATAATGCGCAAGGCCAGAATGGCCATGGGGAGGAGCTTATGTCCCATCGTGGTGCCGAAAACCAAGGAACGAAGAGGGAGTGTATGACAAAGGTCAACAACGACACTAAACGAGAGGACAGCACGGTGGGAGACGGTATCGTCCCAGATGCCACTTTGGACTCCGCACCGGCCTCGAAGTGGTGTAGCAAGGACCGTGACACGAAAAAGGGAGGGAAAATGGCCCAAAAAACCGTGTCGAGGTGGTCTCTAATGCGGGAGGGGACCAGCTCAGGCGGCTCCCTCCAGCCAGGGTCGCCATGGGATGTGCATTCGCCCACAACGTCCCCATGTCGCGAAACTCTTCCGGAAGAGGCATGGCTAGCGCAATGAGTTTACAAAATATGGATGCAAAGCGCACAGGTTTCTTTGGATAATTATGTCCAAGCCATCAACGGAGGCTTGGAAGTCCCTTGGCGTTGTGATGCCCTTGAGAGGAAATGGGGGTTTGGACCCCTGGCAGCTGAAGCTTGGCGTCAACCAAGGGCAAATGAGCCAATGAGCATTGGAGAAGAGCTGCGGAGTCAGCCAAAGATTTGGGGTCTGGGCCGTGAAGGGCTGAGCTGGGCATGCAGCGCGAGATTGACCGGGATACGTACCTGGGGAGTTCTGTGTACGTGTACGGATGTACCTTACACAGTAACTGTAAGTTTACGGCCTCGAGAGATGGCCTGTGTTTGTCTTCTCCAGATCCTCACCATATGATAAAGAGCCAACTTTGCCCAAGGTTAAGAATTACTCCCAGCAGTGTTGATGTAAATTGCTCAGGCGCTGAGACCTCGTCCTTCAACTCCCGTTGCCGCCCTGGCTGCAATTTCCCAGTCTCAATCTGCGCACGTCAGCCGCGGCGCAACTCGAGGCCGCGGCGTCGGCTCCCCGTTTCATCGCACCCGACGCGAACCATGCAAATTTAAATCCGCAGTCCAGTCTTGGAGTAGTTCGACACGCGTTGAATTGTGCAAGGCCATCGAAGCCTCGCGAGCAGCATTGGAGGATTTGAGCCCTGCGATACTCCGTCCGGATACAGATGTACTGACGAGCACAGGAAATTGGCAAACAGTCTTCAGGTCGTTCTCGAACTGCCAGAAACGTCAGCCTTGACATTCTAACCGCCCCTCTTCACATATCCAACTTTTGAATAACGGCCCACTGTGATCATGTGCCCTGACAAAGAGCGAAAACAAAACCAACCTCGCCCACCAAGATGAAAGCTGTAATTCGGCACCCTCAAGACGCTGCCTTCTCCCCACTCCCCGCACCCTGGCTGACGTTAGAGCCTGGCAGCGCCCGAAACCTCGCCACATCCAGCGACAGCCTCTCGCCCATCCAGATGGCCCTCTGGGTATGGTTCCTCAGCTCCCTCTCCGCCTCGGGCACGTCCGTCTCGGTGGTGTTGGGGTGGATGAGCACCGAGAGCGGGCCTCGCCATACAGCCAGCCAGGGGATGAATGCGCCGAACTGGGCGGGCGTAAACAGGTTCACCTCGAACATGGCGACTGGGTGGGGCCCTACGGGCCGGTCCCAGAATGTGTATATGCGTAGCTCGGGGAACTCGCGGCGGATGCGCTCCCAGAGCTGGCGGGCGTATTGGGATTCTTCGGAAGAGGAGGAAGATGGAAGGTCAGCTGTGGGCATTCGGTTGTTTGGAATGGGCTTTCTACGGCACCTACGCTCGGGATTGGTTTGGAAGTAGTAAATGTGCACGTCGCTCGGAGAGGTCAGTTCAGGTTCGTCCAGTCAGGTGAGTACGGCAGGTTGACTTACAACCCGCCCCTCCGGCCATTGTCGAGGGGTTCGGTAAACGTGTCGTATGCACTGCTGAGGATGCCGGTTTGTGGGTTGCGGTAACTCTTGCCATCCTCAGCCCGCTCTTCGGGTAATGGCGGTGCGTCTTCGTAACCGGCGAGCGGGGAGGGGTAGTCAAAGCGTAGTGAGCTTGCCATTATGGGTTGCGCTTAGAGTTCCAATGAGCCTGAGATCGGATGGAAAGCAAATGAGTTCGTGGTGAGAGCACTTGTCCAGGTATAAAACGACCTCGAAGCTCCTTATCTGATGAGGTTGAAGTCAAGACGTCGGCAGTTTGTAAGCAGAGGCCCACACCTGGCGAGGGAGCCCCGCATTTACACACCCTCGACGGTGTACAATACTGTCACTGTCATGAAGTGATCTGATTTAGCCTGGCATGGTAAGATTCATTGACAATAATGTGGTATCATCCGAGCTTGTCCGGGATGCTTCAGTGATCCCTGAGCTAAGTCTCGGTTTTCTCGCTCTGCCTCCCTGTGCCGTCCCCAGATCCAGGGGCTCCGGCCCGAGCGTCTTGGCGTCTCGGCTCCGAAGCCGCGGCGCCGGATCGGCGGACGTATTGGGCCGCCTGCTCTGAGATATTGATCGCAGCCACGAAGACCCCACGCTCTTCCCTCGACCCATTTATAACACGACCACGAACGAGCCGTCTTCTCGCATGTCCTTGAGTAGTCCATACCGAGGGCTGTGAATGGAAAAGTTGAGCACGCTCGTGGCGATGGACTGGTAGGCCTCAATCAGCCGCTTGACCTGGGCTGCCGTGTCAGGCCTTCCCTCGGCTGTTACCATTGCCTGAAGAGCCGAGGCGTTGCTATCAAAACACTTAATGCAGTCGTAGATATCCCGAACCATACTATTCGTTGCACCTTCCAGGCCTGAACCCAACGACCGCATGATGATGGGTATTAGGTTGCTAAACGCACCGTCCTTTCGATAAGAGGAGTTAGCTTTGTGCCATCTCGAGAGAGAAAGTCGGACGGACAGCAAATTGCACACGGTGTGGATAATTCGCAAAACATTGAAAGCTGGGATGGAGGGTACGGGCTCAGGACCGCGTCCGGCAGGGCCATTGGACAAGCAAGCTGAGCACCCACCAGTTCCTTTTTGAGCGAGAACAGCTCGTTGATCCTTATGTCGAGGGTCAATGAGCCGCCCAACTCCTGAAATGCGTACCAGAAAACTCACAGAATAAGGAGCTTGTTGACGCTGAGACCCATAGCTGCGAATTCCTCCGACTCGAGAATCTCACTCCAGAGAGATATCCCGTTGAGAATCCTGCAACCAGTCAGAAGCCAGTTCGACAAGACCTTATGCATATGGAAATCTCACTTGCAGAGGACCAACATGACGTCCACTGAGGACGTCTTCAACCGCCACGAGTAAAAGTCCTCGACACTCGGCACCTTCCCAGACACCCTCCATTTATACTCCGTCACACACCCCTCCATATACTCCCTCAGATGCTTGAAGAGCAACGACCTTTGGTCTAACCCGCAGCACTCCCTGAGCCGTCTACCCACTTCAGCAAAGCTCCCACACACCTTGGTCGGCGCCTCAGGGGCCGCCCTTCCAGCCTGGCCATCGTCCAAGCCCAAGCAGAACCTCACAAAATCCACAGACTGCTGGCAGTACTCCTCGGCGGCGAGCCCGCTATCTTCACTGGCACCCGCGCCATCAATGACGTCGTCCCACAGGAAGAGCCAGACGCAGTAGAAGGCCACCGTTTCCAGCCTTTCGTACGGCGCTTCGGAAAAGACACTGATGAGCAATGGGATTAGTGAACATGAACGCCTACCTAGCACTCTCGCCGGGTAAGGGATACAGCATACCCCGAAGCGAAAAGCCCGAGATCAGCCGCCTTGACCTTCGCCAGCACTTTCTCATGGTCAATCAGCCCTTCTAGCCGGCCATCAACGGCTTGCTTGACCTGTCCATGGCACGGGTTGACGCCCTGCTTCCACGAGGCAAAGGCGGGCCAAAGGTTAGGGATGTGAAGGCGTTGGCCGCGGAGGCACTCAACCGCGGGAGCAGAAGTAGCGTTTTCTGGCTGGATTTCCATCGTCAGATTCTTGAGGAGATATCGGGCGGTTGGAAGTCCCCACTTCACAGCTGCATTTACGAAGTCCCCGCTTCATCTCAGACATGCCACTCACTTTTGCACGCCACAACACACAAGAACACATCGAGTAGGCAACGAAGCAAACATCGTCAGTGCCAGTCTACTTAGGAAGTAAGTATTGCGCATCGATAAACTAGACCAACCGTCTACACGTCTAGGTTGCACCCTCTATTCCGGCCAGAGCAACAAGCAATTCGAGCAAAGGCTCGTACACACCAACCCCAACAAAAACCCCTTGTGGGTGTTGCCTGTCCGCGCCATGTCGTACATATGCCAGGTCAACGCCAGATGCCAATGCAACAGACCACCAGCCATAACAGCAAGGAGAAAACCATGACGGGAGAAGAAACGAAGCTGACTCGAACCGCCCCACCAAATCCCCTCCAACGCCCCATGTATGCAAATCCACACAGGTTTGGCCCCATATCCATCTGCCATGCCATTGCCAACAGGATTCGTTGCGAAGAGGGCTCTGCTCGTCGAAGCAAAGAGACCAATTCCAAGCTCATATGCGTACAGCTAGGGGTGAAATGAGAGAAAAGAAAAGAACACGGGAAAGCAAATGTGCAAAGCGTCAAAAGGTGCGGTGCAGCGACGTGGCGGCGTAACAATATATAGTACATCTGTAGGTATAACAGGTCAAGCGAGGTTGATGCTTGCTATAAGTCGACATTCGCCCTAGCCTGGATGACTTGGCCGGCAGGAGCGCGATCGGCTCGTCGGTGATCAAGCGCTCTGGCCCTCGGCGGCGGGCGGGACGCTGTCGGTGCTCTTCTCGGGCGTAACTGCGTCGAAACCGACGCCCGAGTCCTCGGTGTCGTCGTCATGCGCCGTGTTGACCGTCTCACCCGTCGTGGCATTGACGAAGCTGTCGCCCTCGACAACGACCTCGCGGTTGCCGATGCGGCGCATCAGCTCGAAGAAACGCGAGTTCTTGAACTTCTCCGAAGTGTTGTCGGCGACCGCATTGACAATATCGACGGCAGCGCGCGCGAGCTCGTCGTCGGATCGGCGCTTGTCCTGCTCTTGCGCCATCTTCTCTAGGTTGGCGTCGATGACCTCCATCTCGTCGGCCGTAGGGGGTTTGACGTCCGCTGTGGTCTCGACTCGCGGCCCATGCTCGGCCATCCAATTGTCTTGTGCCTCGGCGAACTCGCTGTTAGCGAGCTTCTGCTTCTCGGTCCACTCGGCGAGCTCGGATTCAAAGTTGGCATCGTCGTATTCGCCAAACGCGCGGTTGAAAGCTTCAACGTCGATTGCAGCAGCGGCGGTATCTTGTGAGAGAACGGTTTGGGGCGCCTGCTGAGCGACAGGGTTTATGCCTGGGTTCTGGAAACTAAAGAGACCTGGGGATGCGCCGCCGTACATGGGCATAGCGAACGGCGCCTGCTGCATGTTCAGGACCGGGTTCATCGGAGTTATGGTGCCCGCGGGCGCCGGAGCTGACATCGCAGTGCTGGGTCCAGCCGCGCCAGGCCCGAGCTGCATGCCCGAAAACTGGCTCACCCACTCTTGGTGCGAGGCGCCGCCGGTGGCAGGAGACGCCAGGCGAGCAGCAGGAGCGCCAGGGCCGATATGGCCCATCGTCGTTGGGACGCCCGGAACTGGGTGACCAAAAGTTCTAGCACCGGTTGGGTGGTACCCAAGCGGACCGATTCCGTTCATGTCCAGCCCGGGACCGATGTTTGCGTCGATAGCCGCGCCGCCCTGCTGGAAGCTCCCGAAAGCTGCCTCGGCGCCATCGGAGAAGGACGTCTGCGATCGGAAAGCCTGGTGGTACAAAGCGTCAGCGGTCGGTTCTCGCCTCAAAACTAGCACCCCAAGTACCTACGTTCCCAGCGCCAGCCTGAGGCGTGTTGACGAGACGATCTTGGTGAAGCGCGCGATCTCGGTCAACATGGGCCAGAAAGTTCTTGGCGCCGTTGGACGGACCGCACATGCTGTCCGCCATCTTGAAGACGAGTGTAGGTGAAGAGTCGGTACGATGCGATTCAACACGAAGGTCCTGGGCAATCCAAGACTGAGACCGGTGTTCTTGAAGTCGAAGAGAGCTAGGCAGGGAATGTTTCGAAATGCCGAGGTCATCCGAGGTATTGTCAAGTCGAACCGAAACAATGGTTCTGTTGCAGTGGCGTGGTTGATAAGGAAAAGAGGGAGTAAAGACTAAGAGGCATGGTCTATAGACATGAGAGAGCTGAGGCCATTCCAAATCGATCCCGCTTTCTTCAGCTGTTTGGTGCGGGCGCCAAATTTGCCATGAAGCCGTGATATCCTGTCGGTGTTTGTCCGCGGCTCATTCTGAAGGTTAGCAGGACGTTGGACAGGCTTGTGACTGAGGGGCAAGCCAAGAACTGGTTGGACTGCAACCGGCTGGGAGCTCAATACACATATGTTTAGCATCCATTCTGCTTAGCAGTTATTCAGACTGAGACTTCGAACCCCAATCATCAACTCAATTGCTACCTCTATATCCAGTTTTCTTTGCTTTACTTGGCTGTGTGCTCTTGACAGAAACCTTTTCTACACGTACACGTGTACTGTGGTAGAACCAAACCGAGTGCGGGGCCGCACAATGTGGGGCTTCAATGTGGGGCATGGTGAGACAGGTGTGCCCCGGGCCACACCTTGATTTTCTTGCCAGCTCGACAACAACAGGGATGCGCATCACAACTGGATCCATTGTTGGAGCAGCGTCACAAACCTCCAAACACAGCAAACAGAAACCCAACAAACTTGCTGAAGCAGCATTCAGTTTTGAGGATATCAACTCTCGCTTTGTTATCTGAAGACTTCACATACCCAGATACCTGGAATCAAAGACCTGCCGTCACAATGGTGCGCAACGCTCTCCCCCTTTCCTGTCCCTGGCTCCTCAGCGAGATTTCCAACATTCGCACATGCTCACCAAGCTCCATGCAGGCAGCAGGGACACAGGTCATTGCCAACTCTGGCCACGATGACATGATTGTATGTTGCTCCTCCACCATCGCGACTGCCACCAAGGCTTGAAACTACGAAACCAACAGCGGAAGACTGACACTGACGCGAACCAGCACGATGCGGTCCTCGACTACTACGGCCGGAGGTTAGCGACCTGTTCTTCTGATCGCACCATCAAAATCTTCGAGATAGAGGGCGAGACACAGCGGTTGACCGAGACACTCAAGGGGTATGTGTGCACGAGTCTGGCCGAGGAACGAGACATGACCGAGGCTCATCATGACCATTAGGCACGACGGCGCGGTGTGGTGCGTCTCGTGGGCGCATCCCAAGTACGGCAACATCCTGGCGAGCGCAGGCTACGATGGCAAGGTGCTGATTTGGCGCGAGATGAACGGCGCGTGGCAGCGCATCTTTGACTTTGCGCTGCACAAGGCGAGCGTCAACGTGGTATCGTGGTCGCCGCACGAGGCGGGCTGCCTGCTGGCGTGTGCGTCGTCGGACGGCAACGTCAGCGTGCTCGAGTTCAAGGACAACAGCTGGGATCACACCATCTTCCACGCGCACGGCCTGGGCGTCAACTCGGTCTCGTGGGCGCCCGCGACCAACCCGGGCAGCATCGTCAGCAGCAAGCCGAGCCCCAAGTCGACGGGCAACCGGCGGTTCGTGACGGGCGGGTCAGACAACGCGCTCAAGATCTGGGTCTTTGACCCGGCGACCAACGGGTACAAGCCGGAGCGGGAGCCGCTGACCGGCCACACGGACTGGGTGCGCGACGTGGCGTGGAGCCCGACGGTTTTGCAAAAGAGCTACATCGCCAGCGCGTCTCAGGACCGAACCGTGCGCATCTGGACCAGCGACCCGGCCAACCCGCTTCAGTGGAGCTGCAAGGTGCTCAACTTTGAGGCGGCCGTCTGGCGGGTCAGTTGGTCGCTGAGCGGGAACGTGCTAGCGGCTTCGGGGGCAGACAACAAGGTCACGCTGTGGAAGGAGAACCTCAAGGGCGAGTGGGAGTGCGTTAAGACGATCGAGGAGTAGATTACGAGCTGGGACGAGGGGCTTGGGCGTTACGGCTGGAGGGTATTTAGAGCTAATGCAGTTTGTGCATCACTGGGCTGCCTTTTCTTGACCACGCGATGCTAGGCTGGATGCCTTTATGCGTGGGGTGGCAAGGAGGTGACAAAAGAGGCTGGCGTTTTTCATTCTTCAAGGAAGGATTCTGGCTAACAAACTACGTAACTTTGAATCAAGATTCCAGTCCAAACTCATCTGTTTAGACCAACGGCCTCTCAACCCACGAGGGCCAACCCTCCGGCGGCCATCATGAACGCCGTCAGCGAAACTATCAGCCACCCCGCCCCACCGACACCCTGATACCGCAACCCAGCCGTCGCAGCCGCGGTAGACGTGCTGCTTCCCGGCACACCAGTCCCGGTGGATGGCCCAGTACTCGTGCCCGTCGCACCCCCATTGCCATTGCCATTGCCATAACCGCCCGCCCCGTCCCGCATAACGACCCAGATCTCCCCTGTCGCATCGCTCGATACAAACAGCCTCTCGCCCGTGGCATCAAACGCCAGCCCCACGGGCCGGAAACACCCGCCCTGGCCCGAGCACGCCGATACGTCGGGCGCCGTAATCACATCCTTCACGGCCGTGAGGCTGTCGGACGGCTCGGTGGGCTCGCCGCGGTCGGCCGAGAAGGAGACGTACGACAGCTTGTAGCCGGCCGGACTGTCGCGGTTCCAGCTACCGTGGAATGAGATGAAGGCGGCTTCGCCAGAAGCCCGGAACTTGATGTCGAGCGGGGCGGTATGGGCCTGGAAAGTCAGCCGTGGCGCGGTGGTGCGCTGCGCGCAATCCGTGTCGTTGTGTGTGGCATTGTTGTCGAGGGAGAACTGCGAGCCGACGGTGAGGTCGCCGGGCGAGGGGAAATCGGTCGTGTTCCAGAGGGCGAAGCAGCCCGGGTAGCCGTGGTTGGCGCCGAGCGTAGACGTGTCGTTGAGGAAGCCGTGGAAGTTGAGCTCCTCGCCGGGGTTGTCCTCGTGAATATCGGTGGACAGGCGCACGATATTGTCGGCGCTGTTCTCGACCGAGTAGACGCCGCCTGTGAGCGGGTGCTCGGCGACGCCCACTGAGTTTCGCAGGCCCCAGCCGACGAGGAGGCCGTCGGTAGGGTAGCTGTAGGGGCGCTCGAGGTCGACGGCGTTGGAGACGTTGAAAATGGAGATGTTGAAGGCGCGGATCTGGGAGACGCCGGTGGACTCGTCTGCCGCAAGCGGGTCGAGGTTGGTGGCGCTGCCGCGGGAGACGAGCAGGAGGTCGGGCTGCTTCTTGGATAGGAGGAGGGTCCGCGAGACGTGGCCGACCCCAGGATTGGTCATGTTGGTCACTAGGCGGGTCCGATTGCCAACGGTAAGAGCGTTGACGTCGTAGCTGTACCTGTCGACGTTTTCCTGGGTCGAGACATAGATGGTCTGGCCGTCCTCGGACAGCTCAAGGCCATGGTTGAGCTGATATGAAGCTATCAATTAAGGGACACTTCTGTTCAGGAGCGGTGACTGCTTACCTCTTCGTCTGTAATTAGAGTTGTGTTCCTCTTGACGGACAAACAGGTGTCCCCGTCATCTGTGAAGGCCAGGTGCGTGAGTCCCTTCCTGGCCTCGATCACGAGCAGCCCGCCATTGCCGTCAAATTTGATGCTGCGTGGTCTGGAGAGGCCTGTGGCGATTAGTTGAGCCTTCCATCCTGGAGCTACAACCGGCGGGGGGTAGGAGGGAGTCAAGACGGTTGAGCAGGCTTGTGTTACAGATGAGGTGGCTGTTGTCGTGACGGTAGTTTCTTGTGCTTTCACGCCAAAGGCCAGCAGCATAGCTGCTGCGGCAGTTCCTCTGAGAAGGGGGGTCATGCTGTCTGGAGGCGGTCGTGTAAGTCAGAGGGCATCAATTGGGGCCACCATCAGACTCCGAAAGGTGAATATCCCGTCCGAGGCTATGAAGCGAAGCTCGATGAATATGAAGGAATAACAAATGGCTGAATCGGCTTGGACCTCATGCAGATCCCCTGGGCATCAGTTCCTGGCACCCAGCATCGTGAGGTGGCATCCGAGACACGGCCAGGATATGCCAAGGCTGCAAGCAGGGCCACATGCCCGAGCACCATCCAACTCTGTGCTGTTCCTTATGCGGACATCATGGATGTGCATGTCCGTACCTGGTTCTCATCGCCGGATGACCCGGAAGCCTGGCGATGGGGCCTTTACATGCTTTGTGCGACTCGGATATCCCCATCAATAGCGGTTGCCCAGGTCCTGTGGGGTTACTTTCTCAGGCTGGGTGTCGATCTGTACATGGTTAGATCAGGTTCCGGAAGATGGTTGATTTGGTTTGTTCGGGGGCCGCAACAGTTGATGTCATCCGCTAACCTTACGGGTTGGTTGCAGGCCTCGACAGGCGAGAACGGGAAGAAAGAAGCCAAATTTGGGCCTTTCTGGAGATCAACTTCGATGTTGCGGGACTGAGAGGGAGACCACAGAATGTGGGGCATTGGATGCTTGGGAGGAGGGTTGGCATTTGAACCTACAACAAACAGCTAGTACAAAGAGAAGTATCACCAAGACTACCTTAGACATACCATAACCCCGCACGGGATGGGTTTATATAGCTGTGTTTGGTAGCGACAACTGTCTACCAGGCATTCTACCGCTACCCGAGCGTCTATCCTGCCTAGCGGGTGCTTCTCTTGTCAAGGCAGTTCTCCTACATGCTCACTTCAGAAGACCCCGACAAAACCCTTTCAATCGCGGCCACCTCAGCCAGCGACTCCAAAATCTTCCTTTTAGCCTCCTCGCCAGGCGGCAAGTACGGCCTCCTCGGCACCATCTTGCGCTCCGCATCCTCCACACCCGCCCGCGGCGCCGTAAACATGCTGGCAGCATACTTGGTCGCCGCGATACCCCCGCTCTTCAACGCCTGCTCTGCCAGCGCGGCCTTCCGGTGCAGCTCGAGAGCTGATTGGGTCTTGCCTTCCCTGTACAGCTTATACACCTTCACGATTGTCTTGGGGAAGACGTTCGCAAACGCCGCAATACACCCAGCGCTCCCCACGGCCAGCCCCCCGATCAAGAAATCGCTCTGCCCTCCGAACACAGCGAACCTCTCTGGCGGGAGCTCAGCCGCCAGCCTCGTGATCTTGGCCACGCTCCCACAAGTGAGCTTCACGCCGACAATGTTGTCATGCTTTCTCACCAGCCTCGCGATGGTCTCGCTGTGCTTGCCCGTCAGCCCGCAGTTCCACCACCCCAACAACATCAACCCAGAAATGAGACGCACCTATCCAAATCCACCCCGCCGCAAACCGCCGGGAAGTTATACACCACCACGCCCACCCCCTTCTCCCTAGCCACCTCACAAACCTCGTCATAAAACCCGTCCACCACCTCTCCCACCCCATGCACCTTCCCAAAGTACCCCGGCGGCAAAACCAACACCCACTGCACCCCAACATCAACCGCATCCCCAATAAATTCCCTCACCTGCGCGCTCGAGTGCCCGCCGACGCCCGCCATGATGGGATACTCCGGGCCCAACACCTCCCGCGCCAGCGCCAGCAGCCGCTTGCGCTCTTCTCTCGTGAGGAGGAAAGGCTCGGCGTTGGTGCCGAGGATGACGAGACCCGCCAGGCCCGTTTGGGTGCCGAGATAAGAGAAGTAGCGCGCTTGCGAGTCGAGGTCGAGGGTGTCCGAGTCCGGGTTGTAGAGGGTTACCGCGGGGCACCAGACCCCTGAGGGCGGCACGCGCATGTTGGAGGGCATAGTGGCTGGTCTTGCTTTTTCGGTGAGCCGGAGGTATGGGCAATGATAATGAATACTGATGAAGTGTGGGGAATCCGGATGTCTTGAATTGGAGTTTGTTGATGCGAATACTACGGGCAGTGAGAATTAAAGGTGAGGATCAGAGAGGGCGTAAGTGAGCCGAAGTGGGACTGAACTTTGTGCGCCCCTCGTCTCCTCTCCGGTTAGGTATGGCAAGAGGGGCGATCAGGCAACCTTCGAGACCTTCCAGATCCGTAATAAGGATCTGATTCAGTGGGGCTCGAATCGGTCCTCGGGCAAGCCGGCGAAGGCCCGGCGGGGCAGGGCCGACACCGGCTGCGGAGCTCCACGGCATCCGGCTGGCAACCGGGTCGAGCCCGGGAGTATACCTCCCGACTGGATCTCCACCTCCTCAGGCCCCCGGTGTCACATACACGAATCCAAGAGGCTTACGGACACATGGAGCATGCTCTGGCGGTTGTTGCTTGCGCAAATCTCCAACAGAAGGTACATTAACGGATTTGTGTCTCAGTGCCCAAGCAAACCCCCATGCCCCACAGCGAAAGCAAGAAGAGAGGAACAAAAGAAACGCCCTTCGAGAGTGAAATGAGTAAGAAGACAGAAAAAACATAACAACCGGAAGGAAAAAGAAGAGGAAGAGCTAGCCATGTCAGCCATGTCGCTACCCCAATCCAGCAAGTGTGTATAAGAGCCCCGTGTGTCTATCCCAGGACACCAAGCCTGGGCTCCAGCACCCTGAAAAATCACAAGGTTAAACGAACACCCCACTATCGCGGCGAAACTAACGCAAGCCGATAACGCTCATCTCGAGCGTCCAGACCCTGCGGATCCAGACCTTGAGCTTGGTGCCCTCGGGCAAGCCGTCGACATTGTCCAGCTCGACGCCCTCCCACCAGCAGCGGCGGGCGGGCTTGCGCCAAAAGAGCAGCAGCTTCTGAGCCATGCCGACAGCGCTACTGCCCATGTCATTGCCGCGAATGTCGGAGCGCAGGCGAGCCAGCGCCAGCGAGCAGATGACGGCCTTGTTAGGCTCGCCCGCGCGGTGGCCCCAGCGGTCGTCGTGGTTGAAGCCGCTGGTAAGCAGTCAGTATACATAGTGCCTGGTATTCCGTGAGAGGTGAAACCTTACCCCGCTGTCAGCATTTCGATGAGATGCGCTTCAGTCGTCCCCGGCTCGTCGCTCTTCTTGAGCCCGCTGAAGATGCCGTCCTGCTTGAGCAGCGCCCTGGCGGCCGCGCGCTTGACTTCGATCATCTCGGCCTGGTCGATGTCCTGCCTGGGCGGGATGGCGTAGAAGTCGAGGTCCTCGCGCAGCACGATGATGCCGGCGCGTCTGCTGCTCTCGTCCCGCGCCCCGGGGTCGAGAGGCACCACGCCGTCGACACCCTCGTGCCCGCTAGGCTCGGCAGGGATGCTCTGCGCCACGTTCCTAAAGAAGTCCAGCATGTATTGAAGCGACGCCGGGTCGTACTGCGGGTGAAGTGTCAGCGCGGCGCATGCTGTTCGCGTTGCGGCAACAACGAATTGGATGTACTCACATCAACCTGCACTGCATCTCCTTCTGCGAACCCGCCCATGTGCCCCTCAGGAAAGAGTCCATTAGGGAAAAGCGAGAGCAGAACAAATTCGGGTAGTGTCAGCAGCTCGTCCCTCGACAGCTTGAAGCGGGTGCCCCTGTCCGGCTGTCAGTTCGCAACTCATTTCATCATACAATATCCTCGCCGGAAGCCTACCGCAAGTCCATAACAATCGTCTCATCGCCGGGAACATCTAAAAGCGCAGGCCATCAGCTTTTCCCGTGCACGCCCTTGACTTCCACGTAACGGCGGCGCCTACCTCCGAGCGGGTTGAGCGAGGGCCCGCCCTGCTGCACCTGAGTAATAATACTCGCGGCGCCTCCTGCGGCAGCCATGAGGTATGTGAATGAGTGGAGTGGACTGGATCCCTCCGAGTAGGCCGGCGGCGGCTCTGCGTCCTCGTCCTTGGTGCTGCTGCTGCTGCGCGATGGTTCGCCGGCTGCACTTTTTGTATCTGACGGGAGGGCGCGCTTGGTTTCGTCCTGGAGTCGTAGAACGGCAGACGCGCTGTTCGATGATTCAGATGCTACCTGGTCGGGAGGTGCATACGCTGGGGCCGCGGTGGCTGAAGCAGCTTCGTTGGTTTCGCCGACGGTGTGCTTGTACGTTTCGCACGGCTCGACAAGGGATGGTGAGGCCTCGTCGTGGACTTGAGCAGGAAAGAGCGACGAAAACGAAGGTGGCGGCCGGAAGACGGAAGGGCCCGAGGCCTCGGAGGTGGGATACTGTGGTGGCGGGGAGTGCTGACCGGATGGAGAATTTGTCTCGTTCTCGTCGGCGGCAGGGCCGCGGTGGAGGAGCTCGGCGTCGACCTCGGCGGTGAAGCACAATAGATTCGTTTCGGCCACGTTGTCGGGCGGCTCTGGAATGCCTGCCTCCTCTTCGACACTGCGCCGTTTGGGGGAAACGGGCCCGGAGGACGAGCTCCTGTATCCCTGCTGGTCGGACAATATGACGGCGGCAATCAACGACAGCTCGGTGGCACGCTTGCTGCGTATCCGGAGACACGTGATGGTCGCGGTCCGAGTCCCTTGGTGTCTGTGGACGCTGGTACTCAATGCCCAGTGTGGCCGTCAATCGCTGAATGGCTGGGTCGCGTTTGGAGGTTCGTGTGATTGAGTGGCGGCAGTCGGGGGTAGCGTGCTTGCTCTGATTACCAGGGCAGGTAAGGTATTGTATTGTACCGATAAGCTTCGAGTTGGAGCTGGTCGGATCTGAACCTGAGTCTGCAACCCAACCGCTGGAGTGACCGATCTACACCAGATCCACTGAATCAGAGGTGAGGCTCAAAAATCTAGAACTCGATGGGCAAGGCAAACTGAATCCATGAATAACGTCGTCTGGAGTCAAACTTCCAAGCTGTCAGGGATTCTCAGTTGAAGTGACCCTTCTTTTACGGAGTACGGATCCGTACAGTACATGGATAGCAGTGGTGATTGGGCTGGCTGCTGGGCCTGAGGGCTGGTGGAGAACGGGTAGCCGCCCTGGCACTGAACCAATCAGAGCCCTGGAGGCGAAAGCCCCATGCGGCCGGAAACTCCCGTCTGGTCACCTTCGACTTACATAGTACACAGTTGCTAACGCATGCATGACACGATCAACTCCGACAGATATCACAGTCTTGAGACGGCAATACTACCTTGACATGGCTCGTGGTCATTTACTTAGCTCATGGCGTCCCATCATCAGACTACGCGTTTAATACCGTACCCAACCTACTACCGTCCGATTCAGGGAAACCATTGATTCGGCATTATTGCACAGTGATATCAGCCCTCATCATCAGTTTCGCCAAAGATGGCCTTGAACACTTCTTCTCCAGCCCTCTTCCCTTCCAAAGCCTCGTTTCTGCTCGAGTCAACAACGGCCCGCTCGGGAGCTGATGGCTGGCCAGCTGCTACCTCCTGTGGGGGAGCTGATGGGACATCCCCTGGGGTGGTGGTCGATGGTGCCGAAACGGAGCCGAACTCCAACGCCAATGGTTCCTGACGCGTAGCCCGATAGCTTGGGTATGTGTCAAACTGAGATGGAGCATCGGATTTGGCCCTCCCTGACCCCGAGGTGGACCCGTTGTCGTCGGGTTGGACATGCTCCGGAGGCTTCACGTTGAATCTCTTGCAAAGCAACCGAGTGGGATAAAAATCAATGACGGACCTTGTCATAGGCCCAAACATCCCGAGCTTGGCCGCTTCCTCGGCTGGATCCTGGGGTTTGGGCGGTGGCTTTGAAAGGAGACTCTTGTCTCCTGCCTCCTCATCTGAATCTGTGGCAGATTTCGCCGTCGTAGAAACCGTAAACCGACTGGCCATGAAACCCGTCATGGGTTTGAATATCCTCGCACAGTTATAGAACTCGTACAACTCTCTCAGCCAATCCTCATTGTTCATCTTGGGCGGAGGACTTCCAGGCGTCGGCCCGAACCCGGCTTGGTACTCAAGAAACGCAATGTATCTCGCGCGTTTCGCCTCGTCATCTCTGTAAGGAGCATTACCACTGGCACCTCTCGAAATGGCAGCAACTGCTGTCTCCTTATCCAGCTTCGGGATGCGGCTGAACAGCTCTTGAAGGCGGTCGGCTTCGCTGAGCGCGTATCCCGTGTGAACTTCGCCTCGAGCCGGGGGAAGGTTTGTCTTGCCTGTGACAGCTGCCAAACGCTCCCGCGCTTCCGGAGACATAAAATCGAACACGGATTTCCCAGGAAGCTGCTTCTCGCCAAGAATAGCCGCACGTGATTTCGGGTCGAGTGTAGATGCCTTGGCGGCATCTGCCGAGGAAACGAAGCCAGCCGGCGCCGCCCGCGCCGTCATTTGCTTCGCCGACGTCCAACCTAGAGGGATTTTGGGCGGAGGATATTTCCCTTCAGCGTTGATTTCGGACGTCAGAGTGTTCGGCTCCTTGCCAAATACGAAGCCTTCCAGGGGCAAGCGTCCATCGTGGCATTTCCGCACTCCAAGCGCAATCTTTCCGAGAGCTGACTTCTTCGACGGTATGAACGCCGGCTTAGTTTTTAATGACGGATTGATCGGTGTTGTGGCCTTCTTTTTCTTTCTATCGCCCCCTATTACGCGGTTGTACGATATTCGGGGTCCGATCTCGTAGGGATCTTCGTCGTCGGACTCCGTGTCGTTCAAGATACCTACTCCGATGCCCCCGCGACTCCTGTCCCGCTCTTTCATGCGTCCCGCGGCTAATGTGATTTTGGGTCGTCCAAGGCTTCCTATGCCTTGGTCATGGTCGTCTTCCTCCGAGTCATTGGCGCCGACGACACTGATGGAGCGGCTGATCGGCGTCAGCCTTGTATCCCCCGCATAACCAAGCCCTTTGTGATCGGTCTTGCGGACAAAGTTAATCATCGGGACGTTCTCTGGGGCAAAGAGAAACGTATCGCCAGCGTCATTATCATCGGTGCGGAGGTCGAGTCGGGCCTTCCTGCGGATTTGGGGGCCGATTCCTTGTCCGTCTTTCCAGCCCATCCGCCGGAGCAGCTTCGTGCCCATTGTGTCCCCTTCTGCGCGGAAAAGCCCCATCAAACTGCTCGTCCTGGTGGCATCTTCGGCGGTCGAGCCCAAGCCGGAAAATGCGGCCTGTGTCTGAATTCTCTTGGATTCTTCGGCATCGGCCAGATCCTCCTCGTCCATGAAATCCTCTGGTCGTTGCTGAAGAGCTTTAGGGTCATCCTTGCGACGGTTTGTTCGGGAAGACACGAAGGTCGAGGGCGTCCATCCTTCTTTGGAACCGACAGTATTGAAGTAGCTGAGGAAACGGTCAGTGGGCTCTTCGACGTGCGAAACGTGAGCAAACTTGCCCTGCGCTCCATCCGCCGGTAAAGGCGCCGTGAAGTCTCTTCCTCCCCCGATCGTCCCTCACCTCCTGCTTCCATAGCGGCACATAAGAGCCATCGTCCCGGGCCTCGGGATCGAACGGCGGAAGGGGCGTCCCAAAGAGGACGTATGGGGATTGTTGTGCGGTAAGATCAGCCTCGTAGGTTGCTCGCGGCCGCTTGTAGGACATGGAGGAGTACAGAAGCGGCGTTGCAAGCGCAGGTTGGTTGAAAAGGCGCAACTCACTCGGTCTAGGGTGGTTGTCGAGTGTCGCTCGGACGTTTGGCAGTTTCGATTCACGTTTGGTCAGCTCCCGTAAGTTACAGTACCTTGCGAAGTCACAAAACGACCTCCTAAATGGAAGTCGGTGAATCCAAGTGGGTCCGATACCGCCCTCAGCGGGGAGCTAACGATCCCCAAGCTACCCGAATTAAGGTAACCAACTTTGGAGACCAGTGCAATACCCATATCAGATTGACCTGGATGGTTACCATGCATAAACGCTGTACCTTATCAAGGGAGCAGAACAGCGGAGTTGCATACATCCGTATACCCTCGCTGAATCGAAAGACGGAGGGAGGATTTACACATGCTGCCTTACTGCCACTAGAGCACTTGGTATCCTCTCTCCGCACACTTAAGAATTAGATCACGGTCTCAGAAAAGCGATATTTACGTCAGTGAGGTGCACAACTCAAGCAGATAAGCGACATTGACGCCTGTGAACCTACCTTACCCCGACCGACACAACCCAGGATGAGATCATTCATCAACCGAACTCGCCTGAATATCACCCTTCAGGTCGTTCAACCCATCCGCCTCAATCGGGGACTGATCGTGGATTTTAACTTACGACTAGTCACCGGCTGTTCCCCGCCTTCTGGTGATGCCTTGTCCAGGTAAGGGTCAATGTGGACAGTCTCCATGAAGTGAGACCCATTCATCACTGGGGCCGCGTGTGATGTCGGTTGCTTGCTGTCATGCATGGCCTTGTGGGTGGCACACAGCAGCATCATCACCATGAGCGAGCCAATCATTGGGTGATCAGGCAGCCACCGAGGCCAGGCCCACCAGGACCGAAGCGACCGTCTTCCATCCTCTGGTCCTTCTTTCAGCAAATATCTGGGCAAGACAGTTGAGGGGGCTAAGCAGCACGAATGGTAACGGCCCAGCTTTGATAAACTCAGAAACAGAATGGGGCCTTCTCGACTCCTCCGTACCCTGGAGCGCGGTAGCTCGCCCAACACGCCAAGGCAGGTTCCGGGAGCTGCATGTTCCGTCGGAGCTGGGCCATGTAGTCTACCGAGTCCCAGTTCCCGTATCGGGTATGGATACCGGTCGTGTACATAAGGTCTTCACCACTTTCTTATCCTTCGCCTCCAATTCAGGAGAAATGCTGCTTTGTGTATGGTTTTACACCCCACATGATTGATGTGCCCCTGCAGAAAAAGAGACTATTGCATAGAAAACTAACAGGAAATATAGTCAAGAAGGTAGGTCGGCATTTACGAGTACCTCCTGTAAGGACTTGGTAATATCGGTAATCATGGCCGCCGTGACAGAGCTGGGTCCGCCTACTCGGGCCTCCACTGCTGAAGCCCCTGATGAACCTGGGGCAGAGGTCCAGCCAAACAACTGCACTGTCCCTCCACTCCTCTTCACTGACGAGCGTCCCTCGACTGCCCAACCTCAGAGCGACACGCTTGCAAACTTGCATCACGCAACAGAGCGAACCTATACCAGAAATCACTGCGTCCAGGTCCGCAGAACCTCGCACCATCCATCTCATGCCCACTTCTTTGTAGCCAGCGACCTGCAACCTCCAAGGCTGTTTCTCCGCTCGAGATTCGTTGATCCACGGATCCTTTACCGATACCTCCTCCCGACCGACTACACCTCAATTCCGATTACGCGGCCGGCGCACCCATCTCCATCATCGTGGTGCTTGTGTCCCAGTGACGTTGCAGCGATTCCTATCTAGACTGGATGGTCTGTCTCTGAGCCTGGCCTTTCTGTGCGCGTCACGATTTCGAACGACCCCTCTGCTCTCAGGTAGCGAGCACCCGCCACCTGCCGCCTGGGCTGCGAGTCTCCCTCGCCCGACATGGCGAGCACGGCTTCTGCTGCGACCGAGATGCCTATTCGGTCGCAGTCTGTCCGGACGCGGCGGCCACCGACCGCAGCACGGCCCGAACCCCTTCCCCGTTCCGAGTCGTCAACGAGAGCCGAGTCCTCGCGTCCCCAGCGTCGCAGCAGTCAGCGATCAAGCACGACCCAGTCGCCCCGGCATCCGCAGCCCGACATGCCCGCTCCGACCGAAGAGGTTCCGGACAGGGCCGTCGACCCCCAGGGGCAGCGCGCGTCCAAGCAGAGATACCGCACTGTCATCCCAGCCCCGTCGGGAAACTATGCCTTTATAAAGACCATTGGACAAGGGAGCATGGGTAAAGTGAAGTTGGCCAAGAAGGAAGGCACAGGTGAATTGGCAAGTCGTGTCGCTTTTTCCCATGTAATATACACTCCGGCCCCCTGTCTAACACGGTTTCCTTCTTGCAGGTCGCTTGCAAAATCATCGAGAGGGTATCGGCCGATGACGGCCGCCAGAGCAGAGAAGATCGGGAGAGGGCCGACGCTGCCAGGGAGGACCGCAACGCCCGTGAAGCTGCCATCGTCAGTCTCCTGAATCACCAGTACATCTGCGGGCTGCGCGACAACTTGCGGACACGATGGCACTGGTATATGCTCTTTGAATACGTCAATGGCGGCCAGATGCTCGACTACATCATCTCCCACGGGAAACTCAAGGAGAAGCAAGCCAGGAAGTTTGCGCGCCAGATAGCGAGCGCCGTCGACTACTGCCATCGAAACAGCATCGTCCATCGAGATCTAAAGATCGAAAACATTCTGATCAGCAAGACAGGTGACATCAAGATCATCGACTTTGGCCTCAGCAACCTTTTCTCGCCAGACGAGGACAGGAAACTCAAGACATACTGCGGCAGCCTCTACTTCGCCGCCCCGGAGCTGCTCCAAGCGAGACCGTACACAGGGCCCGAGGTTGACGTGTGGAGCTTCGGCGTGGTTCTCTTTGTGCTCGTCTGCGGCAAGGTGCCGTTTGATGACCAGTACATGCCCGCCTTGCACCAAAAGATCAAGAAGGGCGTAGTTGACTACCCCAACTGGCTCTCGAGCGGTAAGTACTCCACAGCGACTCGAACCGCTTACTGCTTGCTGACCCATGCGCAGAATGCAAGCATCTTATTTCCCGCATGCTAGTCACGGACCCAAGGCAGCGCGCTACTATGCACGAAGTCATGAACCACCCGTGGATGATTAAAGGTTACAATGGCCCTCCCGATAACTTCCTCCCGCATCGCGAGCCTTTAAAACTGCCGCTCGACGAGGAGGTCATTGCACATATGACGGGATTCAAGTTTGGCTCCCCAGACCACATTCGCGAGGAACTGACGAGGAAAATCACATCGCCAAAGTACCAAGCAGCAGCCCGGCGCGTGGAAAAGGAGAGAGAGCAGCCGCAGCCTACGCCCAAGGATGTCGATAGGAGACGAGGCTTCGGTTTCGATTTCTATAAGCGTCGAAATTCCATAACCAGCAGGGACACTTTGACCAACGGCAGTGCAGACGGCCTGCCCATCGGCGATGATCCGCTGAACGCATATGACCCCATGATTTCCATCTACTATCTCGTCCGGGAAAAGCTTGAGCGGGACCGGCAAGAGGCACAAACCGCACAACCAGCAGTGCCACCCAAGGTGCAAGTCCCGCCGTCTCCGCAACAAGCCCAGCCGTCGCCGGCTTTGCTCTCGCCTGTTCCGCGGCCAAAGGAGAAGCATTCCCTTGCCGAAATTGTCCCGCCGCAGCCGGCGCATACCGACGGCGGCCCGCGGACCCGGACGAGAGCAAGGTCACACAGCGAAGACCAGGTTAGGGAGCCGGCCAATCACGGCCTCCTCTCGCCGGACATGGTGCCGCCCAAGAAGAGCGGCAACGGGCCCGTGTCGCTTCTGCGGAGGCTCAGCACACGCGACAGGAGGAAGGAGCCTTCCGAGGCAAAAGCCAGCATCATACAAAAATCCGTCTCAATGCGCGCCAAATCGCTCGGCCACGCCCGCCGGGAGAGCATCCAGGCGCGCCGCGCAAAGCGCGAGGCCGAGGCGCGCGACCAGCAACTGCACCCGCCGCAGACGCCGCACCATCACGAGCCGGTCAAGGAGGAGACGGACGCCGAGCTGGGACTCGAGGTCGAGCCCGGCGAGACGAGCGGGGGATCCCACGAGCGGCTCGAGCCCGAGGATCCGGACCTCGCCAAGCCCGTGTATCTTAAGGGTATCTTCAGCGTCTCGACCACGTCCACCAAGCCGCTACCGGAGATCAGGGCGGACATCAAGCGTGTGCTCAAGATGCTCGGGGTTGACTACACCGAAATCAAGGGTGGTTTCAGCTGCACGCATGCGCCGAGCATCGCCGAGGAGGATAGGTATTTCTCCACGAGCGGCCGTGGCGGCTCTGGTGGCGGCAGTGATGGACGCCAGGGGGATGGCGAGATACGGTTCGAAATTGTCATTGTCAAGGTGCCTATCGTCAGCCTGCACGGCGTGCAGTTCAAGAGGGTTGGCGGCGATACGTGGCAGTATAAGGCCATGGCGGAGCAGATTGTGCGGGAGTTGAGATTGTGAGGGGGAGTGGATGAGGGAAGTGGATAGGCCGGAATGTGTTGAGTGCGATGTGGAAGGGAAGCGGCATTCTAGGCTATGGCGACGGTCGTTTGGAGGAGAAGCAGGCAGGACTCTTTCATTGACGTTCATGCCTGTGACGTTGGGTTGGTAGTCGCCTTTCACCTGTGTTTGATGAGATGGCGGGTAGCGGCCTTTGTTCAAAGGCGGTAATTTTCTATGTTTTAGTAGTACTTAATACTGAGACTTTGATGCCTCTCTCACTCACTGTGAAGAAGGGCGGGCGCATATGGTGTACAATTTACTTGGTTCTTTCCCAGAGTGGTGTAGCTATCTAGATGTAACATTTCAACCCAGACAGACCTTTTTCTTTCCTATCAAACCCCAGACGCCGTTTCCGAACACAGATGTTAGAAAGGAGAGCGACCTTTTCAACCAGCCAACAAATTCAGACTACTCTCCTTCCACCAGCATGATGAAAACGGGTCCTCCCGCTCGGCTCTCCTGCGTCGCACGCACAATATCACTCCGACACCCTATGCCACGCATCCCACAACACAACGAATGCACCCGCAAGCAAAAACGACCCCAATTCAAGTTCAAACAATGTCCACCAACGCGAAGCCAATAGCAAGCATCTCAGGCTGGACAAGCCAAAGATAATCCAAACAGCACCAGCAAAAAGGTCGACATCACTCAAGCTTTCGCTGGCCAAGCCTCAGGCGTCGCCCTCTCTTTTGGTCCCCTTTCCGGTAATCTGGGGCCAGTACTTTTCCACCAAGTATACATCCACCGCGGTAAGCACCGCCAGTCCCGCGCCCACCGCCATGCGCACACGGGGGTTGGGGCTGATTCGTTTGAGGGAGAAGAAGCCTGGGGCGGAGGGGCTGGCGTTTGCGCCGGGGGTGCTGCTGAGCTGGGAACGGGCTGTTGAGAAATAGGAGCGCACGACGCCCGTGTATGTTGCTGAAGGAAGGGGCCGGTGGGCAGGCATGTTGATGCAGCCGGCCTTGGAAAGGGTTGATGTAGCGGACATAGTCGCGGTAGGATGGAGGTTGAGTTTGTTTTTTTTCCGGTTTGTGATGAGACGTTGAAAGAATTGTGCAGTTGCTGCGGGTAGTGGTTGATGGAAGTACAATATGCTCAAAGATGGGCGAGTTGATGCTGTTGATTGCTCATTGTCGACAGCTTCTTGGGAAGAACGACAGTCTTATATCTAGAGGCTCCTCGCCTCGGACATGTTAGTGAGTTTTCAAAGAAGAAATAGCATGTCACTGTTTCATTGAGCTGAGACGCATTCTGGCCGCCGGGATAAGCCGGGTTCTCTTGCAACACCCGTCACCAACAGCCCAGAGTTTCTTTGTGGCCTCGATCACAAGCAAAATCCCGCTTGCAAGCATAACTGGTAACATAACTCGTAGCATAACTCGTTTTTCTCATTACATCATCCCAATCCCTGCTACGATGGCCTTTTTAACGTTATGGTCAGGGGCTTGAACGGCTTCCTGAGCTTCTCAATCGGCGTGATGTTCTCCCGGCTTAGCCCACCAGGTCTCCTAAGAACCCCACCGTGTCCCTTGGGGAGAGCGCACGTCGTTACATGTAGGCAGGCCGCCGCGCGGGTCGGTTCCGGCGGCGTTTCATTATTGTCTGCCTCTGCCGTGTTTTTCCCGCTGCTGTCATCCTCCGCCGCCGCTGGCCGGGTTGGCGAGCTTGAGAAACAGGTGTATTGCTTTCTTTTGAGCGTTTTCTCTTCGATCGGGGCAGAAGGGCGGGCTATCAGCTTGCCGGCTCCTAATCTGTGCCCGGCGAGGTCCGGGGCGATCGCCGCCGATGCCGCTTGGGGCTCTTGAACCAATCTGGGTGCTGGAGAACTGTTACTTGGTTGGACGGTTGCTGGCAACCTTGTTGCGACTAGACCAGACTGGTCGGAATCCAACTTTACGAAACCCATAATGCTCTTCTGTCCCGTGGGCCGCTTGCTTGTTGGGCGTTTGACGACTTGAGCCTTCTGAGCGGCGTCAGCCTTGGTGTTTGCGGCAGTGATGGCTGCTTGATGAGCGGCGACACTGACAAAACCAGGGAGAGCAGCCACTGTGAAGGTCGACGATTGTTCCATTGTTGTGGAATACCCTTTCCACCACTGAGTCTCCTCGGCGCTATCCTGTACTATGGATGGTGCTTGGAGTCTCGGCCGCTTTGAGGGTTGCGCATCTGGATGATAGCCGTGCCCTCGGTTGGACCTGCCGTTTGCATCCTGCTTGGCCTCCTCCGGGTCGACCGGAAACAGGTTGTCCTCAAGGCTGAACATGGCAGGTAAGCCTTGGAAGATTGAGTCCTCCGGGGGCAACTGGCGTTGAAGAATCCTGGCGATCTCGCTCATGACAGGCCGGTCAAGGCAGGGCCCCTTTTTCATGAAAGCACGTTCCACTGGTTCCACGAACGGTGAAAGCACGGTTCGTTCCCCATTGCCGTTTGAGCTGAAGACTGGGCAACTGAGGTACAGCAAGCTCTGGGCTCTCGTCATGGCGACGTACAGCAGCCTTCTTTCCTCATTGTCATCCTCAGATCGAATGTGAGGAATTGATCCTTTGTAGACGGCAGGAACAAAGACGATGGGCCACTCGAGGCCCTTTGCGGCATGAATCGTCGAAATGGTTACCAGTGGCTTGCTCTGGTCGGCATCCCCAGTCTGTGCATCAGAAGCTAGAGACACATTGGCTAGGAAACGCGACAAAACCTCGACCTCTTTTGTTTGCGGAAGTCCTTCAATCTCCGGAAGAGCATCCTCGTCAGAGCTGCCCATGTCCCGCACGAAATCAGAGGCGAGGCTGATGAACTCCTGGACGTTCGCCCACCTCTGCTCATGATCGTCGGGGTGAGCGGTCTTGAGGTGCTTCTCAAATTCCAACGTCGTCAGGAGCTGCTCGATCATCTGGACGAGTCCCAGAGGCGTTCCGTTGGGCCCAGTCGCTTCTCCGATCCGTCTCCTGATACTGTCCAGAGGTCGAAGGAGCTCACCGCTGAGCTTCTGCTCAGCCTGTTTCGTGATTCTCGTTTTCGCCGTGCGATCTCCCCGGCAGTGCTTTGACAGGACTGTCCAAACGCTGAGTGAATGTGTTTCGGCCTCTTCGAGGAGGCTCCTGATGGTGACATCGCCGACGCCTCGGCGCGGGACGTTCAGGATTCTTGCAAGAGCATCGTTGTTTTCGGGCTGGTGGATGACGCGCAGGTAGTCGAGAAGAGTTCTGATCTCGGTACGCTCGTAGAACTTGAAGCCGCCAACCATTTTGTACGCGATTCCCGCTTTTCCAAGTGAACTCTCGATATGCCTGGACAGAGAGGCGGATCGTAATAAGATGGCGACGTCGTTGTATGTCAACATCGAGCCCGACAAGGTGAGGACGCGCCTGACCTCTGAGACAATCCACTCTGCTTCGGCGGATGCACTCTTTAGCCGGCGGAGGACTGGCCGGGAGCCCATGTTGTGGATGGCCTTCAACACTTTGTCGTACCGCTTCGAGTCCTGCTTTATCACTGACAATGACAAGTCGAGGATGGACTGCGAGGAGCGATAATTCTCCTCAAGGGAGACTTCATCGGTCTTGGGGAATTCCCGGAGCAGGCGCCACAAGTTCCTAATTTCGGCCGACCGCCATCCGTAAATGCTCTGGTCAGGGTCTCCCACAATGGTGATTCGTTGGTGACGCTGGGCGAACAGCTTCATCAATTCGTATTGGATTCCGTTGGTGTCCTGATACTCGTCGATGAGGACCGTTTGGACGTTGGAGACACAGGAGGGGAACTTGCGGAGCAGCTCGACGCACCGAACTAGCAGATCATCGTAATCAAGGAGGTTTGTCGTCTCCAAGTGCTTCTGGTATTCTCGGTAGCATGTCTCAAGATTCTGCAGGCCAGCGACGTTGGTGACCTCCTGGCGGGCTGGTTTGGCAGCGTCCTCAGTGCCCTTGGCCTTCTTCTTGCTAATCCATGCGCGGGCGAAGGCTGGATCGACGTTTAGCTGCAGTCTCTTGCAGATACGGGAGATAATGGCGCGGGAGTCTGTGTCATCGGCAATGCCAAACTTCTGGCTGAGCCCGATGTGCCGTCCATAGGCAGCCAGGTAGCGGCGGGCAATGCTGTGGAATGTGCCCAGGATAATTCGTTTCTCCCGGTCATTCCCCAGGGCCTTCCCAATGCGCTCCTTCATCTCTCGGGCAGCTTTGACGGTAAAAGTGGCGACGATGACATCCTCGGGCCGGAAGCCGACATGGTCGACCAGCCAAGCGACTCGAGCGGTGAGAGTGTGGGTTTTGCCACTCCCGGGGCCTGCGAGAATGGCCACTGTGGCGGCTTTGGACGTCACAGCCCGTTTTTGTGCGTCGTTGAGTCCATTGAGAATCGCGTGGTTTGGCGTCGACGGAGGCATGTTAACAGCGGTGCGTGTGCTGTGGGAAAACATGGATGAGAGATTCATGCTTCAAGAAACATACAACAGCCATGACCTAACTTATTAAGGTAAGTAGTTTCGGCCCCTACTCGATTCGGACTTGACTTGCCGCCATCCAAAGAGCGAACAGCCCGCCCACTAAAACAACTGACGGTGGAAGTCGCGATGACAAGGGGGTTGAGCGTGAGCGCGAAGTGGGCCCTCTCAGGCACGAGAGCACGTGACCGTCAAGCAATCCGTACCGTGGCATGGAGCTTGAACAAGCTGAAACGAAAAGAGGCCTGTATCTTGGCACGACTCCGAACTGGAATGGCGAGGCTGAACGGCTTTCTAAGCCGAATCGGAGCGGTCGAGTCAGACCTTTGTCCTTGCGGCCGAGCGAGAGAAACCGTGGAACATTTTCTACTGCGATGCGTGAGATGGGAAGCTCTGAGGGAGGACATGTTGCAATGCACACTGGCAAGACGAGGGAGCCTCTCATTCTACCTGGAAGGGAAAGCAAAAGATGTGGTCGCCAGACATGAAAGCAGTCCGGACAACGATCAAGTGCGCAATGGCGACAGGGAGATTGGATCTCGACGAGGAACGACGAAGATTGCGACAATCACAGTAGCGGAACTCCACTAACACTACACAGCCTCAGCCAGCAGATCCCGCTATAGCTGCTGAAGATAGGACGCTGAACACCTGGAGAATGCAGCCTCCAAGTCGATCTGCTAAACGAAGTCAAGAGGCAACAGGTGGCGTGAGAAAAGGGGAGAGAGTAGAGGGCTTGTACGAGTTGATGACCGAACGTCAACGAATCGGATGTAGTTAGCGTGCCAAGGCCCTTTAGGCTTCGTGCCTCCGGGCGAAATAAATTCCATCCATCCATCCAACTTGGGAAAGGAAACGAGACAACTCACCTGCTCCTGATATTTTGATGAACTGAACTTTGATTCATTTCTTAAGTGTCTATTTTTTTCTTTGCTCTTCTATATTATCTTTCTTCGTGCCTGGAGAGACAGGTGGCTCAAGGAACGAGACGGCCGGACAGCAACGAGGCCCGCGGATGACATTGACCACCAGCATGAGACTCTATTTCAAGACAAAACCCTAAGGAGATACGACGGCTTCAGCAGAGCGAAGAGTTCACTGTTGATTCAGATTCGAACCGGGGCTATAGGCCTTCGGGCTTTCTTATTCGAAAGGAGAGTCCCAGAGGTTCTGACGCCTATATGCGAGTGTGGAGAGGGGCGAGAGACTGTCGAACACCTTGTGATGTGGTGCTTGGCCCCACCGTTGACTCGAAGATGGGAGAGAGCCGAGGTCAGAACGCGAAGGGACTTTTATTCTGTCCTACAGGGAATCAGACCCAAAGCTGCACGGCTAACGGGGAGGATCCTGGACTGGCTGATGGACTCGGGGAAACTGCCGATGTACGGTCTGGCCAGGAGGCTGGAGCTGGAGCTCGCGGTCTGATATCCCTTTCCGTCGAAGGCCAAGAGGCCTTCTCACTTTGTATTTGCAGGATCATACACTCATCGTTTCTTTGATTGTCGATATGGGTTTTTCACCCGGCTTACGAGGGCGCGGTTTTCCTGTATAGTAAGTTGTTGAAGGCCCGGCACGCCCTAGGGCACAACGGTGTAGGAATAATAATATGTTTCTTCGTATACTTCATCTTCTTATCGGTTTATTAACTGTACCTCGCTTTTCTGTTCCTTGGTTGGGTTTTCTATTTCCTTTTTTTCCTCTTAAAAGTGTCCTGTACAGTGTATTGCTGGCTTGTAAATCCATGTCCGGACCTGGCCGAGGAGCAGCCGCAGACTCAGGCTGGCAATACATCACCGGATTGCGACATTCTCCACTCGAAACTTTCTGACCTTCACCATCGGGTCAACTTGTAAGCCGGAGTAGCATTCGTCATGAAATACTGGGGATACCGCACAAGCACGTGTGTGCTTTCGTTTCATTTCACTGGTTGCTCTTTGATTCCTCCGGCGTTGCCAACGAATGGACGTTCCACTCCAACCATTCGGACTGAGGCTTCTTCAGAGGCTGGCAATGACTGCTACGACTTTAGCAATTCTCGGTGCCTCAATGAGTAAGTTCCCCGTGTCAGCCGGGTGGCAGAGCAGCACACCTCGACTTGACCTCACACAAGGAGCTTAAGAACGACAGACATGAAGTATGCTCGCTCCCTGTCGTCCAACGCTGCACTCGCTGGCTTCTGCGCCTCTCTCTCTCCCGCATATTCTTGACAGCCAGTGTTAGCGCTCCGGCACCCCTCCACTTCGCTGTCTGAACACATAGATAACGATGCGCTGGCTTCGGAGCGCGACCCTCTGGGCCCTGCTTGCGCCCCTCTCGTACGCCGTGGTGGATGACCCAGCCATTGAGGCCGCCCCTTATCACAAAGAGTTCGTCCTGTTCCGCAGCGCCAATATGGCCTCTCCGGATAAGCTCTCCAGCGGAATTGGCTTCCACTCCTTCCGCATCCCGGCCGTGGTCCGGACCAGCACGGGACGCCTCCTCGCCTTCGCCGAGGGTCGTCGCCATAACAACCGAGACTATGGCGACATCAATCTGGTCTACAAGCGGACGAAGACTGCTGACAACAACGGCGACTCTCTGGACGACTGGGAGTCCCTCCGGGAGGTAGTCGGCTCCGGCCCAGGCACATGGGGTAACCCGACCCCGGTCGTCGATGGCTACACCATTTACCTCTTTATGTCCTGGAACAACGGCAGCTACAGCCAAGAGGGCAACAATCGGCTCCCCGACGGAACCATCACCAAGAAGATCGACACCACCTGGGCGGGCCGCCGCCACCTGTACCTCTCCGTCAGCACAGACGACGGCAACACGTGGTCGAAGCCCGAGGACCTAACCGAATCGCTCACCCCAGACAACTGGGCATGGGATGCCGTCGGCCCAGGCATTGGCATCAAGCTCACGACCGGTGAGCTCGTGGTCCCCGCGCAGGGGCGCAACATTATCGGCCGCGGTACGCCCGGCAACCGCACCTGGTCCCTCCAACGCCTGACCGGGGCCGGATCCGAGGGCACGATCGCGCAGACGCCCGACGGCAGGCTGTACCGCAACGACCGGCCCGGCGACGGCGACTACCGGCGCGTGGCGCGAGGGACGCTCGCGGGCGGGTTCGGTGCTTTTGCCGACGACACCGGCTTGCCGGACCCGGAGTGCCAAGGGTCGGTGCTGCTGTACAACCTGGCCGACGACAAGGGCCCGGCGCGGACCGTGTTCATGAACTCGGCCAGCAAGTCCAGTCGGCGGGCGATGCGGGTCAGGATTAGCTACGATGGGGACGCGGCCAAGTGGAATTTTGGACGCGAGTTGAGCGACGCGAAGCTGGATGTCGATGAGGTTGGGAACGAGGGCGGGTATTCCAGCATGTGCAAAACGGCGGACTTTAAGATCGGAGCGTTGGTAGAGAGTGACTTTTATAATGATGGGAATGGCGAAGGCTCATATAGGGCGATCATCTGGAGGAAGTTCAATCTATCTTGGATCTTGCATGGGCCCCGAAACTAGAGACACCAGACGAAACTGGTCAATGTGTGCAAGAAGGTTACTGGGTGAATACCATGGAAGTAAGAGAAGTGATAATAGCCAAAATGGAAGCGTGAAGACGGTACTAGCCTGATTTCGATTCAAAACCATACAATTCCTTGCGTATCCTGCCCCGGCGCTTACCTTACTCATCCTCCCCCGTTCAACTTCCGACTCCCTTTTGGCCAACTTATATGTCATGTTGGCGGATGGGTGTCAAGCTCAGCAACCAGTTTCTCAACAAAGTTGAATGTTCAACAGGAAGGGGACACCCACGCCGCCTTCCACCGTGTAGCTCGTTGATACCAGGCCCCAAGCATATCCGTCATCACCGACCGAAAGGTCAACTTGTTCACAGACCTGGCGGCCTCCTGAATCTCCTCTGCCGTATATTCATTCTGGCTGAGACAGTAGACATGGTAACACTGTTTAAGCGAGCAGCACCTATTACCATCATCCAAAGCCAGGCGGTCGAGGTAAGCACACATTCACTTGATGACTTGCTTGCAAACATGGAAGAAGATGAAAAACTTACAGCGTCACAAAAGCAAACGACATGCACACAATCGTCAACTCAAACGCGACCGCCTCGGGCGTCAAAGGGTGGCACTGGCGGGATGACCGCTTGCCGCAGCCGACGAGACGCTCCATGTCGCGCAGGCCATGGTAACCTTTGGTTAACGCGACCAAGACCAGACCAAAGACGAATGCCACAGACAGCACGACGGGCGAAATGATGAGTCCGACCATGTACCCCCGTGGCGGCAGCGCGCTGGTGGGTGACGGCGGTCGGATGATGCGATGCGCGGCGAGAGAGATGTGCGAGATTGCCTGCAGTGGTGGTTTTAAGTACCAGTGATAGCAGGAGAACCTAGTGTTCAGGCAGACTTACACAACCAAGATTGTAGCTTGCAAAGGACATCACGACCGGATTCGGGCCCGGCCTCGGGTAAGTCGCGAGGATGTATATCGCGGAGCCGAGCACGGGGAAACTGAAGAAACAGCGGACTGCGGCGCAGAGGTTGGCGTCCGCGTAGAGGCTGCCTATGCTCTGTTTGGCCTTGCAATGTTTGCGCCGAGGACTTCGTCCCGACTCAGTGGTCGCTGGGGTGCTCTCGTCCATGTCGAGCTCGGAGGTGGGTGCTGGTTGTTGGGAGTTCAGCATGCTTTTTGATTCTTCTCCTTCTTCGAGGGCCATGTTGATTTTTATGATTAGAGCTGCACAGGTTAGAAGATAAGTGGGAATTGGCACTGGAAGTGCTCGTTTTAATTCTGAATATGGCCGGGCCTCATGTGGATTAGCCACGGCGTACCGTTGTTCTCCCTTACATGAACGGTGAGGCAGCCTTGGCTGAATTTCTGTAGTTTGGAGGCCGTCACGTCGCCTGCCTCAGCCATGTCCAAGCTCTGGGCCAGCCGCACCACAAACCTCGACCCCTGACTGGTTGCCACGGAGACTCGCAGACAATCCAACCCTCTTTTGTATCTTAGGGTTGCATGATGATGAAAGGCCCGGCGGAGTCACGGTTGATAATGGAAAACGGGAAGCCAAGGGTAAGGTAGTAATTGGACAAACAGGGAAAGGAAATGAAAGGGAAGGATAAAGAAAAATAGCAAACCGAAGAGAGACAGATGGATAGAAAGGAAAAGAAAAGGCAGCTGAAAAGAGATATGAAAATTACATAAGTTAGTTAAACAGGGAGGTAAGTTAATGATGAGAATGGACAAAAAAATTAAATGAATACTAACGTGATTTATATGCGAGTGTGCAATATAAGCGAGTGTGCAACGCTAACAGATTTTGGTGCACCTGCAGTTGGAAAAGTTGGTAAAAAATTGTTAGTGGGCCTTCCGAATTTTTTAGCAAAATTTGCGTGTAGCCATAGCAGATTCGTTAGTGTTGCACATTCGCTTATATTGCACACTCGCATATCTATCACGTTAAAGTAAAGTGTGGAAAATAAAGAGTATCCAGGATGGAAGTAGACAGGAAGAAAGAAAGAAAAAGCAGGACAAGCCTTTGTAATTATAAGCTTCCATCTGGATTGTTTCTGCACACTGCGTCTCACTCCTAGAGATTGCCATCTACTTAATGTACATGGTCTCGAACCCGATCGTCTCCCACTGGAACGTGTCAGTGTTGAGCGTGACATTCGTGCCCGTGGTCTTTCCTCCGCGGAGAAACCCGGCCTCGACGTTTCCGCCAGCGACAGGACGCGACAGGTGGTTCTCGCCGGCCGACACGGTAAAGTTGGCCAGTGGAAGATCCCAGGAGTTGCGTGTTGCGACACTCGGCGAACCTGCAAGCGTCAATTAAATGTCCAGCGACGACTCACCTGGTGAAGGTTCAAATAAGGTAGGTAGTTTCTGTGCGGAAAAAGGGGGGCCAACTTATCACTCACCAAAGTATTGAGCAGTCACCGCCTTCTCCCCAACCGCGAGCAGGAAATAGCCTCTGAAATAACCTTCTTGCCACTGCAGCACCTGGTTGGCCTCGACCTGAGAGCGCGCCTTCTCCCTCGCGGCCAGGATCGGACCGCTCTGCCCGCTGGAGCTGACGGCAGTGCCGGCAAACTCGACGCCGATGCTTCCCTCTCCAGAAACGGGGTCATAGTTCTCCTGGCCGAGCCATGTGACGTCCGAGACCCAGTTTTGATGGCTGTCACCAGCAAGGAAGATGTTGTTGCCGATCTTGTTGTCGTACAGGTGCTGGAGGGTCCGGTTGCGGTTGGCGATGTAGCCGTTCCAGTTGTCGCCGCTCGAGCCAATCTGCGAGAAGATAATCTGGCTGCCAATGACCCTCCAAGTGGCGCCGCGCTTGGAAGACTGGCTCAGCTGATTGTAGAACCAGTGCTCTTGGCGCGACCCCATCAGCGAGCGCGAGGCGTCATTGCGGATGAGGTCGATGTAGTGATCGTTCCAGCCAAGGCTCGTGATGCTACGATCGTAGTTGCGCGTGTCGAGGATTATCAGATCGAGCAGACTGCCCAATTGGAATGACCGCCAGATGCGCAGGTTGTCGTCGAGATCTACTTGCCTGGGCAAGGTTGAGCTTCAGGTTCTTTCCGTAGAATTCGAGATGGGGAAGACTTACCGGATGGGCATCCATTCAAAGTAGGCCCTCACGGCATTCATCTTGCGTTGGTCGACACTGATGGACGGGCCATCAGTGCGGAAAGACTCTTCAGTGTTATTCAGGGCGCTGAACCCGTCTCTGTAACCGTTGTTGGCAACCTCTGCACGCGTGATTAGAAGTGCTATCTTGCAGTACCGGTTGTCATGTGCATGTGAGAACGACGCCACATACCATGATCGTCCCACGTTGGAATCCAGGCGAAATTCTGAGCGAGGAGCTGTAGGTCGGGGTCGGTACGGTACTGCTATCGTCAGTCGTCTTCACCGTAACCAAGGGAATCTCTGTTCACAAACCTGGCCATGGCGGGTCCGGTAATCCCATAGACTGAAGATGATGCGTGGCGGATTGTGTGCCCGGTTTCCCTGCTGTGCTCCTTCGTAGATATAGTCGCCCAAGTGAACCACATAGTCATGCTGGTCCTTTCTCGCGGCATTGCCATAGGCGTTGAAGTAGCCGTTGGCTAACCTCAAGTCAGCGAGGGCTATCCATTGCGAAATCGCGGAGCAAACCACACTCACGGTAGTTGCTGCATGAGAAGACGGCCAACTTGAGCTCATCCAGTTTGGCGTTGGCCGAGGGCGCCGTCTTGGTCCTTCCCACCGGGCTGGTGTTGTTGGAACCGCAAACGGCGAACTGATAGTTGTAGGTTGTGAAAGGTTTGAGCCCCTGAGCCTCAACCTGTCCTCTCATCAGCCACGTACTATACACCGTTAATCAGAAGATACAGTGCACGGACCTTGACCGTGTAATCAATGTCGCTTGTTGTATAAGCGGTGCCTTTGGACACGACGCGGCCGGTGTTCCCAGGATGACGACCCTTGGACTTTGAGTCGGCCTCCCAAACCTTCCATTCAACACAGATCGGGTTAGGGTCCGCCTTAATGTACTTCTCGACGTCATGGTTGTACAGTGGAACCGTTCCCTCGACAGTCGTATTTTTGTTGTCGGACGCCGAGGACGGCGCAACCCGTGTCCACAGAATGACGCTCTCAGGGTACGGATCTCCAGACGCAATGCCATGGGTGAAGTTCAACTCGGAGGGTTTAAGAGGCAAGGCACCGCGCTTCAAGCTTCGGCGCGATACCAAAGGGATGTCAATGCCGAGATTCACATGGCGCCGCGAGGGGCTGTGGTAGTTGAGGTTCCCGTCGAATGCCGCGGAGACCAGCGGCGTCGAGACTGCCGTGAGGCTCAAAATCAACGAAATATGCATCGTAACCTACACTGGTGTCGGTTGAAATTGAGCGATGTCCGAGTCCCCGAGTCGTGGGCCATAACCTGGCGCCCGTGTCGACCCATGGACGTCGCGGCGCCCGGACTTATATCTGCAGCGTCGTAGACTATGCGATTCGTCGCCTCCTCACCCTCGGTGAACCACTCGGGTATCTAGGTTCGTGCCACACTTTCCTCCCAATGTCGCTCCATCGTGCAGCCATCTTAACAGGCGCACTTCACCTTCCAAACCTGATTACTGAAGTCATTGCGCTTGGAAGAGAGCGACATCGAAGTCAAGGTTTGGCCAATAAAACAGAGAGCACATATACACGCGTTCTGCGGCTCAATCGTGATGCAACTGCTCGTGCCCACGGAACCCCAGGATCCCTAGGAACGGTGAACAACGTGAAATGGTGCTGGTAATTCATTGGGCGGAGTCCCGTGGGGTGCTTGATCGTAGCGCAGCGTTGGATGATGTCGGCACCCTAGAAGGTAGTAGTGTTACATCCGAATACACGGCAAAGATCGGCGGATCACTGCTGGAGGATCAGGGAACGCAAAAGGATGTTATGATTAGGTACCTAATCGATGCCGGCCTCGAGAAGCCTCCTTCATTTCAATAAACCGCGTGATATCCACTAACAGCCATCTCTCTCCTGCTGACATCGCAGCGGTCCGAACCGGTGATAGAGGTGTGCTGCAGTACTCATGGTGAGAGCTGAAACGGAGAGGGTGGATACCGCCAACAGCGAGATGGCCGCGAGCTTGGACTATTTGAGACTTCCCATCTGATTGGGCAGAGCGCGTTGAGTCTCCCAAGCACACCGGCGATACTCGTTCGTCGTGTAAGCGGTGAACCTGACTGGCTGGAACAAGAGCTCTCAACCGGATGGTCTAGTATGATGTGCTCCGATAACTCGAAACCGATGGTTCGGTGCTTCCTTTGTTTGTGTTTGGTATCTTACGCTTCCATTGTTGAACCTGAATCCAAATCGTTATCTAACAGCCGCCATCCTATCGCAATGGCAGTAGGTAAGTTATCCATATACCCTAACTTTAAGACACGTGAAGGTCTATTACAATCCTTCAAGGAACTCTGGAGGAAAGGCCCAGTAAATGAAGCTCAGTTTCGTCCAACCAAACTCTCACTGTGCACAATATACTGCACTGATTCAGGTCTTGTCATTGAAGCTTCGCTTCAACAAGGACGCAGACACACCGAGTCACGCGCTAATAAATAACCACAGTCAATGAGAAAGCGGCAGGCAGTTCAAGAACCAGCAGAATTGACGAGCATGGGCCGACTGGCGAGCCTGGACAACTACTGTGATTACCGTAATGGGAAAATGCACCAGGCGGGTATGATACTTCGCATTCCAGGGATACAATCTGCCGTTGATATGTCAACTAGCATTCCCACCGCAAGTAGCATTCCCAGCACAACTACCGTTCCAAGCGCTCCGCTCTCTGATTGGCTGGTATTTCTTTCGGTCATGCCCAATCCGGCTGGTCGATCAAACTGTGGCAATTGGCGCTACTGTAAGCCACTGTAAGCTACCTAAGCCACTGTTCGCGGACGATGACACAACTCACCATACCTTAACCCATGTGAACAACGCACAACTGCTGGACATGAAGACACAAAACGAGGAATTGGGTC